AGTCACTAACCACCATTAATATACCATAAAGTCATCATCCACCATAGAGCTACCACTGAAATATCCTCCACCATAGGGATAACATTCAACAGAAATACCATAGAAATATATTCTACCATATAACATACCGTAGAAATACCATACACCATACAGCCACCATAGAGCTACCATAGATCTACCATTTTACTTTAGAGCCACCATAGAGTCACATAACCACCATAGATATACCATAAAGTCATCATCCACCATAGAGCTACCACTGAAATATCCTCCACCATAGGGATACCATTCAACAGAAATACCATAGAAATATATTCTACCATATAACATACCATAGAAATACCATACACCATACAGCCACCATAGAGCTACCATAGATCTACCATTCACTTTAGAGCCACCATAGAGTCACATAACCACCATAGATATACCATAAAGTCATCATCCACCATAGAGCTACCACTGAAATATCCTCCACCATAGGGATACCATTCAACAGAAATACCATAGAAATATAGTCTACCATATAATATATCATAGAAATACCATACACCATACAGCCACCATAGAGCTACCATAGATCTACCATTCACTTTAGAGCCACCATAGAGTCACATAACCACCATAGATATACCATAAAGTCATCATCCACCATAGAGCTACCACTGAAATATCCTCCACCATAGGGATACCATTCAACAGAAATACCATAGAAATATAGTCTACCATATAATATATCATAGAAATACCATACACCATAGGACGGCATCAATGATATACCATTGACCATAGAACTCCACCATTCAGCAATTGTGTGGTATACCATAGAAATATATTCTACCATATAATATATCATAGAAATACCATTCACCATAGAGCCGTACCATAGGAATATCATAGATTTTTTTTGTAAGGGCCAGTTTGGGGTAGAGGGTAGCTGCGAGGGCAAGTCATGAAATGGTTCATCGTCATCAATATTTGTAATGGGATCTTGATCCTCGGACGAGGAAGATTCCGATGTAGAGCAAGGTGGACCCCTATTTTTTGTTTTAGTTTTCCTCTTACCCGTTTTAACGGAATCAAGAGGAGTAGGTGTAGTAAGTCGTGAAGGGGGGGAGGTAGCATCTGAGAGTTTCTTTTTTTTGGGAGTCACTACGGAATGTACATTATATTTACGTTTCTGACCACCTTGCTGTTTCGTTCTATTAACGGCTACATCTGAATCTTCCTCGTCCGAGGATAGGACGATATTGACATGGGGAGGTGGAACGTGTGAATCCCTGTTACACCCCTCCCCACCTGGACCATTATAGCGAGAGCTACTAGGTCGGGGCAGGGTGTGACTATGTGACGGTGAGCGACCTTCACGCCCGTTTGTTACAACGCGCTGTCCTAAGGCATTACCCGCATCTCTTGAATGGTTAGAAATAGTTCGTTCACTTACCTTGTCTTTTGCTACTTTTGATGTGGATGGTTGTTGCTGGCCACACTATGTACAAAACCCTGTGCCTGTGCAGTCGGCTAAACAGTTTACGCAGTGCGATTCCAATGGTTGTTGCTGGCCACACCATGTACAAAACCCTGTACCCGTGCAGTCGGCTTAACAGTTTACGCAGTGCGATTCCATGGCTGTGTGTTTGTTTCTCTTTCCTTCTTAAAACAACGTGTACATATACACAAAATAAATAAAAATGTTAATAACAAAATTCTTTAAGTAACAGGTTTAAACGTAGAGTATTTTAGAAAAACAGAGGTCAGAGACAGAGCTATACCAAAGGGTCTAGCAACTCTCTCGTGAATGAGGTAACAACCGTGGATCGTCTATTTATCATGAATAGAACTAGTCTCTACAAGCCCTCCTCGCCCTGCGCTGTAATGATAATTGGGCTTGGACGTTAAGAGGATTAAGAAGGGATTATCTAACTAATACCTGTACACAGTGTTGAAAGTACAAAGACGACCCCTAGAAGTTAATTTGATCGATATGGCATCTGTCATCCATAGTGTAATTAAATTAAGTGTAGTGTTATTTGGGCATAAAAAAAATTTAAAAAAAAAAAAAAAAAAAAATTCGTTTCGGTTTAATAAAATTTGGAGTGGACTATTAGGCTATTATTATTATATTATCATTATATTAATACATTTTATTATTATTTCTATCGCCGGCCATGAAAGTACTCGTCGTACTCATCACGGTCTTCTGTATCCGGGAACTCCTCGGGGGCTACTACATCCGCGATGTTCTCCTCTTCATCGCTGTCATCCCGGCCATACACGTTGTCCTCGACGGAATAGTCTGAATGATAGTCCGGTTCGTAGTCTTCTTCCTCTTGTATCTTAAGGCATACGCCGACGAGGTATTTCATCTCGGCATTTTCATGTCTTCTGTTATCAATGTCTTCCTCATCGCAGTCCTCTTCATCATCGGCGAACTCCATTTCTTTCGCTGCTTTCTTGTCGGCCTCTGCTTTACGGTAGGCCGCTTTCGCTGCGGCCTCGGCGTCGTGTTTTCATATTTGTTCGATAAATTTTTATAACGGTGTGGGCGATCATCACTGAGAACATCAACTTCAATACTGTAAGTACTGCCATTACGCCCAACATGGTCATCGTAATCGTGTAGCTGTTCATCAATCACATCTAGACGCGACAGGAAAGAAAACATGTCTTGTTCTCCCAAGAAAACCGATGATCCGCCTATTACAATATTTTCACCAAATCTATTAAATGTTCTTAAATGTAAATAGAACATCTCCCGGTGTAACAGTATTACAAGCATCTGCAATCCTCTTGCAGCGGAAAGTACCGTACGGAATACCTCCTTTGGAGCTTTCCCCTTTCTGTAAAATCGAGGTGAAACACCTAGGCCGTCATTGAGAATATCGGTTTCGGTAGGAAAGACGTCCATGAAATAAAATAAAATAACAAAACACAATAGAACTAGTCTCTACAAGACCCCCATCGCCTGTATTAAGTATAATAACGGATCAACTTCAAACGTACCGCTAACATCTGTTTCTGTAAGAACTCCCCTCTTAGTAAAAGTTTTAATCTCAGGCATTCTCTCTCTCTCTCTCTCTCTCTCTCTATTTCTTTATCTATTCCCTCAATGGTTTACACAATTTTAATCTTACACACGTCACAAACAATCAAGCGTCATAGCGACCGCCCAAGGGAAACACAAAAAGTGATCTTTGAAGACAGGTTCCTTTAGCACATGATTCAATGAGAAAACATTTTCTCTCTCACTCTCTCTCTCTCTCTCTCTCTCGCTCTCTCTCGCCTTTTGTCTCTTACAGGTTCACTACCCTTGATGTCAAGACAACAAATGCAATAAAGTATAATAAACACGTTGGATTTTACTGTAAAATGGTGACAACTTTATTATAATTTTTTTACAAATCATATTCATTCCGTTACATATCCAAGGTTTTTTGTCTCGATGCTACTACGGGTTTTCTCAACTGTAGATTGCACGGTTGATGTTCTTAGAAATCATCAGGACTGCTTTAAATTCCCTCGCAGATAATGTGATGCCTTGTTTAGTCGGAAAGTACTGTCCATTTGACTCGTAGTAATCTCGAACGTCGACATAGACTAGACCTCTGAATTTTCGCACGGCCACGTACTTGGCGCGTCCATCCTTCATGCTGATTGGTAACTTGGCAACGGTTGTGGCTTTCACATCACGGGCCGTGTTTGTTGTCACGTCTGTACCACCTCCATCCACATCCTTCTCGTAGCTGTCCATCTGACGTCCCTTCAGTGGCTTGATGGTTTTCTCTCCCACTTGTCTGCCTTGTTCGTTCATTTTTCCTGGCTGTAGATTTGATAAGCCTTCGTCTATGAATAAGGGTTCGGGCGATGTATACCCCGAATCTTCATTCTCACGAGGTACATCTTCCATGTCTTCGTTAGTCGTCTTTGTATTATGTTTGTAGTAACTGTACATGTTGCTGACGGTGATGTACGATTTTATTGATCCATAATTATCGATCCATATTTCATATTTATTGATTATTGATTTCATATTAATCGATTAATCGATAATATCATAAATCATATTTTGGGACTATACGTACATACATACTACTGACCTGTGGAACAACAAGACGTAAGTTGAGTTTTATTTGCTTCAATTAATCATTATTATTTGCTATTTTCCATTTTTACTGCTGTCATTTTTACCTGGCACCAGTTTTATTATGCAGCTCTTTAACAGTAGACTAGTACATTTCCCCTGCTTTATATTGCTTGCTTTGATTGTTTAATCATCATTTTTCAAACTATTAGCTTTAAAGGATTTGGTGTCAGAGCTACTAAAATTATATTTGTCATTTAAATCTATATCTCACTTATGTATTTTTAACACTTGCTCATTATCATTTATTCCAACTAACTGTGCATTTATGTATGGGAATCACATTTTATAAAGAGTCATAAAACAGTATCAATATTAAGAGGTTGTAAGAATTACTAGGAAATATATTTCATCTGTAAAATACTAATGAAAATAAAATTTATCAGACCCAATTTCCTCCCTCTCTTTCTATCAGGGCTTGTTATAATATTTATTGGGGCAATGAAAATTAAATTGCCATGCTTGTAAAGATAATCAAGGGAAAGAAATGATATAAGTGGGCACAAAGTAGTGTGATATATGGAATTAGAAATTTTTCAAATTTGTTTTCTTTGCCATATGAATGGGAACAATAAGCAATTATTCGTAGAGATCGTAGGTGATTGTAGGTGATTTAAAACAAAGAGTTTTAAATAAAAATTAGTGAAAAATAATGTAACATGATCTCTATATCTTTGGAAGGGCTTAATGCCTCCAAATCTTTCATTGTTCATAAATCAAGGATATGATTGTGCTTTGGTAATAATAATAATAATAATAATAATAATAATAATAATAATAATAATAATAATAATAATATAAAAATAAACAGATATTTCTTAAGATTGTTTTTTTAACACTTTAGCAGAACTGCTGGTAATGGATTTATAGCTGTTCATGCAAACATGGAGAGATTATGGTGTATTTTCCAGCAGTTAAGAGGTAATGCTAAATATGTAGAGGTGTTATCAGTTAGAATCTTAGGTTTGTGACAATATCTTGTTTATGAGACTTACAAGTTATAACACTGTACTGCCTATTCAGATAGAGGGCGACAGGACTGAATAAAGACACACACTTCATGTCAGCCATCTTTGTACACATGTGAGTTATTCCAGCCTTTGTAATTAGGGACATAACATAACATGGTGGCAGCTGGTGTTTGTAACCCACTCATTGGAAGTCTTGCCATGATTTACCAAGGACTTCACACAATTTGTTAGCTTATCTAAGCTGTACTTGGAAGGTCAAATGTGCAAATCGAACTGAAGTTTTCTACGGTGGCCCCACATGCTTAACTTTGTGTGAGTGACTGCACAGCTGTTGTCACTGTTCTACGACTACGGTAAGCTTGTGATTTTCTCTACTGTGCTTGTGCTTATATAATAGTCAAGATGCCTGATGAGCGAAGTGATAGTAGTGATGTGGCCAGTAATGTATTCAAAAGGCCGAACATAAACCCTCCTGCTCACCTGAGGGTATCTGATGGAGATGCGATTGAGGGATGGAAGATGTGGAAACAGATGTGGGACAACTACTGTGTGCTCACAAATCTATCTTCTCAACCTGAGGAATACCAAACTGCTCTGCTCCTTCATAGTATTGGACCGGATGGAGTAAGAATCTACAATGGCATGAAGTTTGCCAGTGATGAAGACAGCAAAAAGTGTCATCTTATCCTGGAGAAGCTGGATTCCCACTTTCTTGGAGAAAGAAAGGAATTTTTTGAGCGGTTCAAATTTAATCGCAGGAATCAGGAAGGGGAGAACATTGAACAATACGTCACTGTGCTGAGAACCATGAGCAAGTCATGTGGTTTTTGTGAATGTATGAAGGACAAGCTACTGATGGACAGACTGTTATTAGGTGTGTCAGATGACAGCATGCGGGAGAAAATGATGGGAATCCCAGACCTCACTCTGTCCAAAGCCATTGACATATGCAAAGCTGTAGAAGCGGCGTCATTGCAGATGAAAGCTCTCAAGAATGAGGAGGTAGTCTACAAGGTCTACAAGAAGGTCAGCACTGGTGCATCTCATTACTCTAAAAGGCCTGGCAAGAGCAGTGGTAAACTGAAGGATGCAACTGACCCAAAACGTTGCAAATTTTGCTGCAAAATGCATGAAATGAAGAAGGAGAAGTGCCCTGCTTGGGGCCGCACATGCATGGCATGCAAGCAAAAGAACCATTTCAAAGGATCTGAGGTTTGCAGAGCTTCAACCATACACTGCGTGGATGATGATTCTAGCTCGTCGTCAGGTGAGAGCATTAGCTCTGTCACCGTACAGAATATCAATGCGGTTGATGCCAACAATCGTCCTGTTTTCTGCAAAATGCTGCTCAACGACACAGAGGTTGATTTCCAAGTGGACTGTGGTGCTACAGTGAGTCTACTCCCACAGAAGTATGTTGTTGCTCACAACGACATAAGAAAGGAAGCAGTGCAGCTTCAAATGTGGAACAAATCAACAGTCACTGCAGTAGGAAAGTGCAAGATTAAGACGAGGAATCCTGTTAATAACAAGAAATATGTTGTTGATTACGTGGTGGTTAAAGAGAACCTGACTCCTCTCCTGAGCAAGAAGGCAGCAGAGAAGATGAACCTCATCACAATCAATTATGATAACTTTGAACAGATATATGTTGCGACTTCAAAGGATCTTGCAGAGTATCCCGACGTCTTCTCATCCTCCAAGATTGGCACACTCCCGGGAGACCCAGTCCATCTCTACCTTGACGACAATGTAAAGCCCAGTATTCGACCTGCTAGGACCATTCCTGAATCCTTGAAAGATACTGTCAAGGCTGAACTGGATGAGCTAGAGAGAAAAGGGGTCATAGACGTCATCACTGATCCTACGGACTGGGTGAGCCAACTTTCGGTAGCGACACGGAAATCGGGCAAGGTTCGTCTGTGCCTGGACCCACGACCTTTGAATGTGGCATTGAAAAGGGAACACTTCCCCCTTCCAGTGCTAGATGACATTCTACCCTCACTAACTGATGCCTCTACCTTTTCTGTGTGTGACCTGCGTAATGGCTATCTTCATTGTCCCTTAGATGAGGAATCCAGCCTGCTCACAACATTTGCTACACCGTGGGGTAGGTACAAATGGAAGAGGCTTCCTTTTGGACTAAAGGCGAGCAGCGAGATCTTTCAGAGACGTCTACACCAAGCGCTAGATGGCCTAGATGGAGTCCGCTGTGTGGCCGACGACATCATTATCTGGGGTTCTAGTGAACGGGAGCATGATGATCGACTGGAAAGCCTGCTCAAGAGATGCCAGGAATTGGGCATCGTTCTCAATGCGGAGAAATGCCAGTTCAAAGTCACAGAACTTACCTTCCTCGGACATGTTGTGTCCAACAGAGGAATGAAAGTGGACCCCTCAAAAGTCAAGGCGATCCGTGAAATGGATCCTCCCAAGTGTAGAGATGACGTACATCGACTCCGTGGCATGGTGAACTACTTATCTCGGTACTTACCACATCTCACAGAAGTTCTGCAGCCAATCAATGACCTGACCCACAAAGATGTTGCATGGACATGGGATGAAATCCATGAGCAATCATTCAAGAAGGTGAAAGAACTCTTGACCCAAGCACCTCTGCTCAAGTACTATGACCAAAAGAAGCCCTTGGTCATCCACGCCGATGCAAGCGCTCATGGAATTGGGGCTGCTATGATGCAAGATGGTCAGCCTGTTGCTTATGCTAGTCGTGCGTTGAGTGATGCAGAGTCGAGATACGCAGTTATCGAAAAGGAAATGCTCGCCATCGTGTTTGCTCTAGAAAAGTGGCACCAGTTCACATTTGCACGAGAGGTGACTGTCTACAGCGATCATAAGCCACTAGAATGCATCGTGAAGAAACCCCTTGATAGGGCGCCGAAGAGGCTTCAAGGCATGCTCCTCCGTGCCATGGCATACAACATCGAGGTGAAGTATCTGAAAGGAAAGGAGAACCACTTGGCCGACCCCCTTAGTCGTTCATGTCTACCGTATGAAGGAGGACAAGAGGAGTTTGAAGTGGTCAACTCGATCACACACCTGATGCTCCCCGATGACAGGGTTCAGGAGATAAGGAGACACACAGCTGCTGATGAGACTCTAAGAATGTTGAAAGACACCATACTCGAAGGATGGCCTGATCACAAGTCTCAGCTTTCATTGCAACTCACACCATACTTCAACATCAGAGATGAACTGACTGTCAGTGATGGTGTTATCTTCCGTGGTGAACGTCTCGTAATACCTAAGCAGATGAGGGCTGAAATCAAACGTGATCTACATGTTGGTCACAGTGGTGTCGAAGGAACCCTCAGAAGAGCAAGAGAACTTGTCTACTGGCCTAGAATGAATCAAGAGATCTCAGAGTACATTCAGACATGTGAGACATGCCAGGAACATTCAATCTCCCAAGCAGCGCTCCCTTTGATGTCTCACGAAATACCTGATAGACCTTGGGAAAAGATTGGAATGGATCTCCTTCACTACGACGGTGACACATACCTTATCACTGTGTGCTATCACTCAAACTTTTGGGAGATAGACAAGCTTTACAAAAGCACTGCAACATCTGTGATAAACAAACTGAAGGTCCACTTTGGGAGATATGGCATTCCAGATATCATCATCAGTGACAATGGTCCTCCGTTCTCATCACGGGAATTTGGCACCTTCATCAAGGAATGGGGAATCACATACAATCCGATCTCCCCATACAACAGCAAGAGTAATGGCAAAGTTGAATCTGCCGTCAAGTCTGCCAAGAAGATGATGAAGAAATGTAAACAGACAGGAGACAGCAGGAATCTAGCCCTCTTGAACATCAGGAATACACCAACGCAGGGTATGGACAGCAGTCCAGCACAGAGGTTTCTGGGACGACGCACAAAGACCCTGACACCTACCATGCGCCCACTCCTTCAGCCCAGAGGAAGCAGCAAGAATGAGATGAAACAAATGAAACTCATTCAAGCAAAACAGGCAAAATACTACAACAGGCGAACCAAGGAGCTGCCTGTTCTTGAGGATGGTGATACAGTACGCATGAAACCATTCCAGCCAGGACGCGACATTTGGCAGAAGGCCAAAGTCCTACAGAAACTAGACGAGAGATCTTATGAGGTGATCTCTGGTGGACATACATACCGGAGAAACCGAGAGCACCTTAGAGCAACAAGGGAATCCCCAGACAGTGAGATTTCCATCCCTACGCTACCCGATATTGAGACGGATGTCAACGATGACGCGGCTCGTTCTAGACCTGATGACACCAAGGACCTACAACCAGCTGCTTTGCCTGATCAACCTCAGACATCAAGCCGCCTACATGACCAAGAGCCAACAGAGCTGAGAAGATCATCTCGTCGACGTCATGAACCAAGCAGCATGAAAGACTTTGTTAGATATTAAAGATAAACAAAGCAACGAGAAAAAAAAAAAAAAAAAAAAAAAAAAAAAACAAACTTTGTTTGAAACTTTTTGAAAACTTGACTTTGGAAAATTTTTGGTTAAGATTTTGCTTTTTTGGACTTGAAATTTTTGATAAGGCAATTATAAAACCACATGATGTTTTTTTTTTGGTGTTAGTACCGTGGTACACCGTTGCTATGGACTATCATTTAGACTTTCGTATTAGAATGAGAGCTGCTTTGGAAAGCTGGACACTTTTGGACTCATTCTACTCAAAAAAAAGGATCAAGTAGTGATTCTTAAAGGACTTTGTTTTGTTAACGTTCTTTTTTATATTCATGCATGCTGATACATTTTGTAAAGGTCTCACAAACAGTTTTTTTGGGCAAACTTTAAAAAAAAAAACAAAACAAAACAAAAAAAACAAAAAAAAACAGGCAACATTTATATTTTGGCTAATGTTGGCCATCCATCTCTCCCAGTAAAAAACCACAATGGGGAGGATGTGACAATATCTTGTTTATGAGACTTACAAGTTATAACACTGTACTGCCTATTCAGATAGAGGGCGACAGGACTGAATAAAGACACACACTTCATGTCAGCCATCTTTGTACACATGTGAGTTATTCCAGCCTTTGTAATTAGGGACATAACATAACAAGGTTGAGCAACATACTGACTTATTGTGTAATACTTGATTGTACATCCGTGGAGAAGTTGGAGTTAAATGAAAGAAATGTTTGTTAAGATGATCATGTGCCCTCTCTTATTATCAGGTAGCAAGATTGGAGTATAATACGAAGATAATCAGTAGACTGGTTGGTTCACCAAATAGAGGATGTATGCTCTTGGCAGCTACCATTGTCTTTCTTGCTCTGGTCAGAAGTAGAAGGTGAGTAGCAAAGGTCATCCAACAGTCAATGAAATCATATCCCATGATGTAACTGCAGTGAATCCTTGTCCTATCAATAACGTATGTCTACAGACATTATACACCCAACTGAGGAAAAATTTGAACCCTAAACATTTCAGATCTTTTCTGGGATTGAACCGCTTTGCCCCCTCACGCAGATGTAAAAAACTGAAATTCAGATAAGGGAATAAAAGACAATTTACTCAAATCCAGGACAGAAAAATTAAAAATCCTTTTTTTTTAAATAAAAATCTCTCTCTAACTTCATGGTAGGGAGGAGGCTTTTAGTTTTGTATTGTAGATGAAATGTTTGCATTTTATGTGACCAAGATTTTCATAAAAAACAAAAAGTCATAATTATTACCTTTATAATTTGGATATGAATTTGATGCTGCTTATTTAATAAAATTAACTTGTTAATGATATCTTAACTGTCCATGTATCATTCAGCCTGTCAAAGCCGTGTAATACGCATGCTTTATTGATCAAACTGCAGGTTTATAATGCTTGAAAATATTACAGGTATATATTTTCTAATAAAGCATTCAAAGATTGCAAATTTATCAACATTATGTAAAAATTGTGTTTCATTACCAGATTCCAGCTAGCCATTGGTACCCAATACACATGGGCGCTTCTAGAAACAGACTTGGTCTGGATGATAGGAACAGGTCTATTAGCTGTTGGGATTATTCTTGTCATATCTAGTTTCTTTGCTTTGGGATTCTACGGAACATATCTAGGTAAGTAGATAGATACACAGGCACAATGTTAGCAAAGAGAAATGGCAAAACAGAAAGAGATAGCTTTAAAGAGAGAGAGGGAGGGGTAGGGAGAGGGAGAGAGAGAGAGAGAGAGAGAGAGAGAGAGGGGGAGGGGGGGGGGATGGAGCAGAGAGAAATTAGAAGAGTATATATATTCAGATAGAGAGAGAGAGAGAGAGGTGTGAGGGGGGGGGGTGAGTGAGGGGAGGGGAGATATAGAAATAGAAATGACACAATATAAGGTGGAAAACAGACACACTTGTAACTGATAAGGAAAATAAAACATCAAAATAGATAGCCATTAATCTGGAAACAGATAAGGAAATAGACCTGAGTACCAAGGGGGAAATTCAGCCTGGTAGGATTATATGAATAATCTTTTTTTTCCTGTTGAATATACATTTATCTACTGCAGATATGAACATGCCATGAATAAGAGAGAAAAGTTAATTTGAATATATGTCAAATCATATCTATGATTTCTAATATTCAATCTGACTTTTTAAATGGTGGTTATTTTGAAATGACAAAATGTAATTAATACTTCCAAAACAAAACAAAAACAAAAATCCTGAAATTTCATACTCCGAAATCAAACAGCATAATAATAATAATATATAGTGCTTGATGCATCAACGATATCTCTAAGCGCTTTACAGATATATTATATATGTTCTCAAATGGGGCTCTATATTGAAGTTATCACCTCTTTGATTTTTCTCTGCCTAGTACATACCGGTAGCTATCAAATGTATTTGGCCGATGTATCATGTAGTTGCAGAATTTACTGTTTGTTATGAATTAGTTGAAATTTTCCTTAATATTATTAGAATTCGAGACTAATTTGAAGATGAAATATATTTCAATTAATCCATTATGCGTGGACTTTAATACTTCATTTTTTAATATTTTTTTTCCAGGTGATTATTTTGGTATTTTGATGGAGGAGAAAGTGACATGTTTCCCATTCAACATTGTTGGTGATCCTATGTACTGGGGTTCTGTGCTGGAACATCTTGGGATAGCTCTTCAGTAAGTTGACACATTGTATCTTAATAAAAATCACAAATCATACTGCAGTACTCATTTCATATCATCTTGCTATCATATTTTAAATATTGTCTTCAAAGCTGTCGCTCTCGGATCTCTTCACATATTTTATCTCTGAAAATCCTGCACATTACATTTATGTTCAGTTCCCAAGAATATATTAATATGTACTTGTGTAGGTGTATGTCTTTCAATACACCCTTTCTTATTTTAAAGATTTGAATGCATTGATGGATTATTAGTATATCGATTTCATTTGTGCAAGATATTCACCTTTATTCAAGTTTCAATAATGTAAAAAATCAAGAATTGGAGAATTTGTTTGGGGGAGAGGGAAACAACTTTTTAATCGTTTTTCATAAATTAGTACTGGGTAGTTTATTCACTCACTAACATTGCCTTTAACAGTAATGGATAAATTATGTGAATATAAGTTTGTTCATATTCCTTCCGGCAAATTTCAGATTTCAGTTTGAGGCTGTCTAAACTATTCATGATATTTTGTTGATCAAGTATCCATACCACGTTAATAGATATTTCAATTTTCCGTTTGATATCATTCTATTTTTCTTGGAGTTATTTCATGCTGTATAATCTACAGATTGACAATAATTTACCCTATCCTCGTCCGAATTCACAATCTGAGACAAATGTTGATATATTTTATTTTTTTTGGGGGGGGGGGGGGGTATTTTTCGTCTATGTAATGTTCTCCTTTTCCTTCTCCATATTTCTCCCATCATCCACATGATGCTTGTTTTCTATTGAACTAACCAACGTCTTCTTTTCTGTTCTTTTCCGTTTCTCCTCGTACCTTGCACAGGTCTGCAAGTCCATCAGGTCTCTTTTTAACAGCTGTCGTTGCGAGCATGTACATCATAGCAATGCAGTTCGAAGGACCTTTTACATCAAAGATATATGCAGAGAAGGCATTGGAGGAAAGCAAGAAAACCAAATAATCTTTGCCATTTTATGTTCATTAAAAACTAATTAGTTCCTTCAGTAAACTGCATAACAAAAAACATGATCTGTAAAGACAATATCCCTTTTTCAGAAGCTTTGAATTAATTTTTTTAGCTGTCAGAGGATTTCAATATATAGGTCTACCATTTTGTGCAATTGTTATATCAATGCACCCAATTTACATTTGAATAGATAGATGATGGTTCTAGGTGTAATTTTATAGGACTATTTCAAATTACAAATATTCTCCCCAAAATATACCTCTGAAGTATCTGAGCATTTACCTACATTTGCAGTCTTTGATTTAAGGTATTTATAAAGAACAACCAGCTGTATATAAACATCAAATTAATGATGTACATATAAACTGTTTTATTCAACATCTCTTTTCTACTGAATACTTTCTGTATATCACAAACAAGGAACCAAGCCAATTCTTGCATTTCACAATACATGTGCCCCCAACGTTCGTACCATGAAAAGCACCCGCGGGTCACAGACAATTTCTTTGAAGTATGAGAATAACATTCTGCAGCTTCACAATAGAAGACCATGATGACAATGCCAGCAGTAGCTGGTGGGGCGGGCTCCCGGTGATGTTTCACCAGCGTAATAGCGAGCTGATTTGTCTAGAAAGTTGTCGACCCATCTCCCTAAATTACCGCGGTAGAGTAACTGTCGCAACTGAACCGAATGAGGGCGCAAGGATTGTGAAACGCGAGAATTCATGGTTGTTTTTATTCTTCTGAGATTTATAGTACTTGTTTTCCACTCAACAGAACCATTTATAAGAAAAAACATATGCCATGGTTTTCTAAACAACTAAAAAGGATGTGCTCAAGAATTATGAGAAGTACTTTAAAAAACCTAAAGAATACAAAAAATAATGTTACAACAAGATCTGTAATTTTCACACAAACCATATATATGTAATGCCAGAAAATAAATGCTAGTCTTTCAAAATTTCCTTTAAAGGAAGCATGACTAAAACTTGGAGAACTATTAAAGTTGTTCTTCAAAGAAGGAAATATAAGAAAAGTGCCTTTGTTTTTTAGTACAACAGTTCAATTATAAGTGATTCTAAAGAACTTGCTGAGAGGTTTACCAGTAATGATTATTTTAAAGATCTATTTTTTTTTAGCAACATTCCTGAAATTGGATATTCTCCCAATTTCATTATTACATGATTTTCAATTTTGTGTTTTTATGTTTCATATCATCAAATTACCTGTTACCAATTTTTTGTTAATATCTTTCAGAGCAACAAAGATATTTGTAGATATAGTACCAGGATTTCAACAAACACTTGTGTAATGTATGCCATTTATCTTTTCCAATTATATATATATATATATATATATATATATATATATATATGTATATATATGTATGTAAAGGACCCACTATCTGGAACAAACTACTCCCCAAATTAAACAGTTTCAAGCATAATCTGAAATTTTACCTGATACAACAGCTTTTAATCTTGGTAACCGCCTTTTTAAAATGTATTATTGTACTTTTTCTTTGTCTCATTTTTTGTGTTGGTTTTATTTTTTTATTTTATGTTGCATCATGTATGTACAGGTTTCTGTAAACTTTTGATGATCCAACCACTTCGTAATTCCCTTCAGTATATTTTCCATTTGATTGTCTCATCCACATTCGTAAGAAATCTTTTATTGTGTGTTTTGACTTTGCATGTTCTTTTTTTTTATGCAGGTCAATAAATTCAATTCAATACATAATAAGGTTAAAACCTTTCTCATTTTAGGTGACACATCTTGTGTATTAAGCTTCAAATGAGTTACCAGAATGTTTTATGTGTGTTTGTTTTCAGCATTTCTCTGTAATTGAATCATTATAAGTATTTGGGTGAAATATTTCTTCCACATTGCTCTCTTAATCATACTTTTTGCATGATGTTGTTTTGATTGTTGGGTTGTACTTCCAATATTCTTATCAATCTTGAATTGCTTTGCTGTTGATCATGTCAAGTATTGTGTTGTAGATGCTTTAAATAGCTGTTATTAGCTTTTCCAACATGTGGGGAACATTTCTCTTCACCCTCTATACCTGGTTGTCTGTGTTTTGATAAGCTTACAGTGTTCTAAATGGAACTACTGTGAAATTACACGGTTTGAGATATGTTGTCGAAATCATGTTATGTTATGATGACAAACATTAATTAATGAATTTTGGCAACTATTTTGTATTTTTGCATTTATGCATGTGTGATATTGGTTTTCTGATATACATGTAGAAAATAATAGTCTTTGTGCTTTCATCCAGTAATAAACATCATTCGATCATGTAGTTAAATTGTCGATGATAAAGCTGGGATGGGGAATGTATGGTTATATCAAGCTGAGGGATGTAGTACCAAATGGATAGTAAGTGCACTAAATGGGTGAATGATGTTTAAACTTAAATGGAGAGGAGTAAATGTTGTAATGGAATGTGTTCAAACTATACAGTCTTTAAAGATGAATTTTCTGTATTATGAAATGTATGAAAATCAAATTATTTGCATGTACCTTCCATGATGATGAAGAACAATGATAATAAAACACATTTGTACTCATTTCCAATATAAAAAAACATGATTTTGAGCATTTTATTTCTTGAAGTCATTGAAGTGTAGTCTGACATGTGAATCTTGTATTACTTGAAGAGGGCAACATACTCTTTCATGACCGTGGAAACGGGTTTTGGGGATATAATTTTTGCTTTAATAGGTCCCCTACTAGGCTAGGTGGATAAGGAGAAATAGAAAGAAAAAGCATTACCATTCTTTATGCAATTTTCTTTGTTTGAATACCTTGAAATAAAAGGCAATCTAGAGCAACCTTAGATTAAATTTATCTGAATGAAAATCATTGACATTACTGCAATAAATGAAAAGGGTAATGCAGGGAAGATTTTTTCTTCTCTTTTGTATTTAAGTTCATGATAACCCTCTTCATTGGATCCAATTCAAAAGGTATTTGTTATAGTGCATTCTCTTTAAAGTTACAAAGCGCTGCACACATCGGTCAAAATGTTTGGCCTGTATCTTAATAATCTCTCATCAACAATTGAATGAAAACTATACTCTGTTAATATTTCAATCATTCACATATATATCCTTTATTTCTAGAACCCTTTATTTCTTTTTAAAAGAAATGAATCGCTCTTTCCCTCTTGATATTTCTTAGTCAGATGTGTGTGGTATATAACTATGCTGTCATTAGAATGAATACAATTAAATATACATGTAGGTCTAAACTGGATCTGATTCAAACAAGGACATGTTTTCTATAAGTAATATCAAGCAAATTTGTATAGTTCTTTCCTCATTGTGAAATCTATGCTGATGTTCTTTACTACATTATCTACTGATTGGTTTATAACTAGGTATGGTTGCTATTTTGGGTATTCTTTTTTTCTCATCAGGCTTCTCGCTACGAGTATAGGACCTCGTTTCTAACGAGGCTCTTCGGATCCAAGAAGATAGCCTGCGCAGTCTTCTGTTGTATCATTGCCATCTTAGCTCTGTTCAGATTTAACACGTAAGAAATATAGCTAAAATCATTATTCACATTATCATTGTCATCGTAGTTGTGCTCAGATTCCATACGTAAGAAATAAAGTTAAAAAATTAAAATTATTATTCCTCTTGCTACTTGAAATTATGATTAGCGCAGAATCAAATTGGTGTTTAAACCACAGTGCAAAACGGTGTTAATCATCTTCTTTGAGAATTGCATCTTTTTTCCTTTTTTTTTGTTATAACACAGGTAGAGATGTTTGATAAAATGTAAATAAGATAGATAGCTAAAGGGGTTGACAAGAATATAGAATGTGAATTGTTGGTTTTGTTAATATCAATGACCACAAATATAGAAGCACTCTTGAGACTTAAACTTTCCCACAACTCCAACTTCAGGAAAAAAAATTCTATGGCCTTTACCTCTTCAGAGGAAGGATAATGTGTGAAGATATTTACATCATGTGGCTGGCAGAAGAGGGTTATATAGCCTGCATGTGGTGCCGTTCTGCTAAATGTGGATGCATACTATTTGGTTAAGCAGAAATTTGTAAATGCACCAATATATGTGCTTATTTGATATGAAACTACCATCCATTTTCACTTTTTTTAAAAATAGTCAATAAAGAGAGAAATCTGTGACATATTAAAATGAAATGGTATAACATATGTATCGAGCAATCCAAACGATAGAAGCAACTAACCAGAAATTTGCTTTATAGCATGTGTGTGCCTTTCTGCCAGTCACCTGACAAATTATGCATCCTTTTGAAAAAGAATAAGGATCAAAAGCATTTTAGAACTTTTGTAGTACACAAGGCTTAATTATTAAGTATATGACTATAAATTTTGATGATTGTTTTTTTAACGATTATTCTTGAATTAGTTTCTACCATGCGGTGACTCCTCAGGAATCATGGCCTCTTATAGATCACATGGTGATCAGGACGATAGGACAGGTCCTGACGGCATCTGGAGTCGTCATGGCTACTTGGGCCATTGTTGCTCTCAACTTCTATGGATATGGTTTCGGTGAGTTCATTGTAGAGTGTTCCAGAAGTTCAGGGTGAAATGAAGGCAACTCAAGATAAAATGTATGTTTGTATAAATGTATGGAGGGAGGGAGGGAGGGAGGGAGGGAGGGAGGGAGGGAGGGAGGGAGGGAGAGAGAGAGAGAGAGTACAAAGAGGTAAGGAGGGAGGGATGGAGGGAGACAAGGAGAGAGAGAGAGAGATAATGATAATAATAATTGGATTTATATAGCACCTTTCCCAAAGGATACAAGATAGAGAGAATAGAAGGAGGTAAGGAGGGAGAGATGGAGGGGGAAAGGCCTGAGGAAAGGAGAGAGAGAAAAAAAAAGAGAGATAGAGAGAGAGAGAGAGAGAGAGAGATAGAGAGAGAGATTGTAATGTTAGCTATTATAGATTACATACTTGCTTTGAAAAACAAAGAGGAATAATTTCTTTTTTTTTAAATCAGATTTGTCTTATACTGAAAAGAGAAGAAGAATGATCTTCAAAAATATAGATTATAAGGAAAAGAAAGAGACACAAAATTGATATGTAAGATTAAACTCTAAATACACACCATCTTGTTTTAAAAATGTATTGAAATATGTGACATAAATTAGGCAATTAACTTTTTATAAGCTGATATAAGTATGATTTCAATTTAGAAATGGAGGTTGGATAGATTTAGGTCGATGTCAAAAATGGGAATATATAGTAGCAGTATAAGGTGTCATAGGTGATTCATATTGTCTTTTTTTTTCTTTCTTTGAACTAGCCGATTCCTTTGATATTCTGATGGAGGAGCGGGTCACATCTTTCCCATTCAATGTCTTTAACAATCCCATGTACCTGGGCTCAACTCTGGAGTATGTAGGAGCTTCACTTGTGTAAGTTCTCTTTTATTACTCTCTTGATAAAACATCTGACATAGCCTGTTGCTTGCATTAAATTGAAATAAAATCTTTGTTAATTAAGAAATATATATATAGATAAATGCAGGTAGTCATGAAAACATCAATTGATATTACAGAAACAAATTGTTGGTGTTTGATCTTTCTGTCCTTGTCATTTGATTTCCCTTGTGTTCAAACACAGATATTATTCCATGTCTTTGAATTTCAATTTATGAAATAAGTGTTTATTCTGGGGGGTGTTTCACAAAGAATCCGAGTCAAACTTAATTCTAAGTTGGACTTAAACATTATGGAGAGCCATTTGTAACCTTACAAAAAAAATATATTCAAAAGCAAAAATTCAATTATTTTAGACTTTTCATAAATTCTACCCCAAGAACATGAAATCTCCTTGATAATAGAAAATATGAATCATTTGAATCAACATTTTAGAAAAACTTTTACAATTTTTTTTTAAAGATGCTAATGGCTTTCCATAATTGTTAAGTCCAAATTAGAGATAAGTTCAACTTAGGATCTTTGTGAAACACCCCCTGATCAATTGGAATCTAGTCAAATAATGATCTAGAAAAAAAGGGGGGAAATGATGTTAAGAGTTAATTAATACCTTAAAGATTTTATATCTTGAATATATTTGAAAGCAATACACTAAAAGTGATTCAAATTTGAATTGTTCAGAACAATAATTGTACCTTTTTCAAAGACAGACATTTTAAAGATGTTTTTGTTTTGTATCTCTTTTACAGGGCAGCTAGTCCGACTGGTATGGTACTGTCTGCATTGATAGGTGCTATGTATCTCATAGCTCTGCACTTTGAAGAGCCTTTCACAGCCATGATCTATGCTGACAAAGCAAATCAAAATATTCGCAAAGAGAACTAGGTCTTTCTCGTGGAGAAGGGTAAATGATTCATCTTAGGAACCGGCGGTATAAACGATAGCATCACCGTAATTCTCAAGATTTAAAGTGTACTGTGTTTTACCTTTCAACAAAAAAATTGGAAAAAAAATTAAAATAAAAATTGTTTCAAAATTAGCAATAGCATGACTTAATCTTGATGCTGATACTAAATGATAAGGCTTGGCTAAAGGATTGATTCATTATGCATATATTTAAAGTACAATGGGGATAATCTTGTTCCAGTCTTGTTTGATGGTAGGCCTACTTAGCCAGAAATAATATATATAATACATAATGATATATATGATGATATAATAATATAATTATATAATTATATAAATGATAATATATATAAAATTTTCTTATTTTCTCAATCTTATGGCAGTGGCTAGTGAGATAGTTTTTGAGTAGTATAATCATGAGTCTAATCAGCTCAGGTCTTCATGTGCAGTGATAAACCAAGCTAGATCACTTTTCTTTGCAAGGGTGGTTTAGAATTCAGAAATTTAATTCAGTTATTGTTTGGTGATATATAATTATGATTTCATTAAATTCAAAATTCTGATGTTAAAGAGTACCAATCACCTAAAAATATAATTTGTTTATAACTGGAATGTATAAAATTGCTGTTAAAAAACCAAACTTGGACTCTGTGCGGGGCCTTATTTTATGCAAAATAGAATACTTTAAAAATAAAATTATTTGAAGAGAGGGACAAAAGCAAAATCAATTATAACTTATAGTGTTATCACATTGATAAAACAATATAACACTTGTGCAAGCAGTGAACAGGAGTGGGTCCAGTAGTGTATGCACAAGTCGCTTTTATATTAATTGAGAGTGTATCTGGACTTGCAAAATTTCTTTACAGAAGTTATTTTTGCAGCTCATATTTTAAATATGTATCATTATGAAAGGGAACTACTTAATATAAAACTAAATAGTACACTTTATGCTCCAATTGATAGGTGCTAATACCATGAAGTTTTCTTCCTACACTTATCTATACCAGTTAAAGTGATATAATGTGTGTGATGACAATGTGTGTGATGATAATAATATTTGAGATATTTGCTAGAGAAACAAGTATACATATAAAACTAAATAGTACACTTTAAGTGATGTTTTTTGATGTTATGCTCCAATTGATAGGTGCTAATACCATGAAGTTTTCTTCCTACACTTATCTATACCAGTTAAAGTGATGTAATGTGTGTGATGACAATGTGTGTGATGACAATGATATTTGAGATATTTGGTTGAGCAAAAAGTGTTTGATTTATTCACCCTTCAGGCAAGTGTTGACTCAAGACTTCGCATTACCCAATATAATTTTTTTAAACAATTTGGTACCAATCAATGAATGGCTAGCATGTATAGGGAAAAAATAATTAACTCTGCTTGTTCTGCAGTTGATCAACTGAGACAATTAATCTTTTATTTTTCACATGTCTGAGAACAATTGCTTTCTGGAATGCACTTTTCAATTTCAACTTGGAGTTACCCTACTTGCTTTTTTTGTGTGTGACAAGATTTTGTTTGGAATTAATGAACCTAGAAGTCAAGTCTCAAGCCTCTTTGGCATTTCATGTTCTTACATTACTTGGCAAACATTTTATTTTGCAATGTAAATATTAAGATGTCAGTCCCAGACTGAAACAGTTTATATATTATATTGTGTCATACAAGTCCACTGAGGAATTTATTGCAAAGATGAGAAAAACAAAATTGAGAAGCATATGACAATAGCCGTTTATGACATTTACATGTTGTGTCTTGTGATGTTTTTTGTTCTGTCATAAAAATGAATAAATGTCAGATTATATATCGTGTTAAAATGAATGACACTGTCTTTTTAAAGTTCAAAAGATGTGTAAAACAGCAGTATTGTTTATTTTTTACAAAACAAATGTAACACATGTTTTGTATTTTTTATGTTGATGTTCTGACAAATAAAACCTTTCAGGATTTAAAAAAAATGTTTGAATTTGAATTTGAATTTGATTGGTACCTACGCCGAATGAAATGCATCTATCACTTAATATGAAAGTGTTCCATTTCATGAAAGGAAATATTAAAAAATACTTCATATAAAACCATGATTTTTATTTTCACAGAAAATGGAATTTTAATTTTTAATTTGAGGTTAAGAATTGAGGCCCTTGCTCTCGATCCAGAGAATACCCAGACATTAAAATCTTTATTGATGTGGATGGAGTTAAATGGCAATCATTAGTTGTTTAAAATGTGCCTGCAATGTGCAATCGGCCAATCAAATGCAAAGGTTATATATATGCATTATGTAAATTGATAATACAGGCATAGTCCTTTTTGTTACATAGTGGTACTTCTGGAATAAAGATAATGCCCAAATTTCTTCTGACATCAATTCTTTCAGATGTGATGAAGTGGATGCAAAATGGATGGTGCTATTTACCAGTAATGTTCAAACTTCAAACTTCCTCACTCTGTATTTTTGTTTTATGAAGCATTTTGTTCGTTATTTGTACTTCTACTCAGTACTGTACAGTTTGGAGACCATATTTTGATTCTGTAATTATATGTGTACGTCGCACAAGCAGTATTATCCTTTGTAACATGTTACATATCTTGTGATAAGTTTATGTAAAATTGAAAATACTATTAGTCTTGATTAAATGCTGACTGATTTGTCAAAATAAAACAATCATTCATCGATACGATTATGCCCAAATCTTTATTCAAATTTTTGAATTTAAAAAAATGTATATGTTTTTATATTTTTTAAACATTAACCGGTACTCGCCTAGTGTATTGTTTTGATTTCAAAGCACTACTTTTCACTCTTTTAAATTAATCAGTCCATGCATATGTGCGGCCCATACAAATGCTGGTGGATATACCTTTTTGTCAACCATAGACATACATGTACCTTTTAGAGTTTTTGAATTATTTGTATCATAATGGCAATATGCCTAGAATTTCACATAACTTGTAATTTTGGTATCCTCAATAAGAAGAGATACATAAATTCTTCAGTTACTTGAATGTGTGAAGCCGAGTGTTGGTGAAAGTTGGTGTGTTAATTTTTTTAATTTTTAAAATGAATTATCTGATAGTTGAATAAACCTGTGAAAGTAGGAAACAGAAACACACAACCCCAGAGAGTTTGCTATAAAATATCTGTATTTTCAAGGAGTTCTTAGTCTCCAGTTCTAGAATTTTTCCCTCAATGATAAATTTATCAGTAAATGACAAATTCACTCAATTATGAATATCTTGCAGAAGAAATTGTATCTAAAAATTACAATTCATAGATGACCTTTTGGGACTCACAAAGGAAAAGTATTTGAAGAAGGTAAGAGTTGGCCTTTATTGTCGTCTTATAATTTTCAAAGCTAATACTTTTAAAGAAATATACAAATATAGTTTCATTTATCCGAGACCAAGCAGATGCACTAAGAAGTCATATTTTCAATAAATCTTTTACCTTAAGCAAAGCTGGTACGATTGATTACTTTTAGTGGACAGATTTCCCAAACTTTAGCTCTCTTCTATTTTTTAAATTTTTATTATAAATATGCCATTCCCCATCAGTCTATCTGTCTCCCTCTCTCTGTTATCTGTCTCCCCTCTCTCTCTCTCTCTCTCTCTCTTTCTCTGTATCTGTCTCCCTCTCTCTGTACCTGTCTCACTCCCTCACATTCTCTGTATGCCCCCCCTTCTCTCTCTCACTCTATCTGTCTCTCTTAATATACAAGTGCTCTTTTCTTACTATCACAAAATTTGCCTTCCTCTCTCCGCAACCACTCCAGTTGTGTAATTTAAACAAGTGGCCTGAGCAAAAATCCTACAAATACACTGTCTCAACCCAACATACAAGAAATTAATTGAAGGGTCTTGCCTGTTATTCTTCTTCTCTCATGACTCCCCCCCCCCCCCCCCCCTCTCTCTCTCTCTCTCTCTCTCTCTATACATATCAAATGAAATTAACCTTGTCAAGCATTCAGGGTAGGTAAAAAGAGATGGCACATTTATTTCCTAAACGAGAAGCATATATACATTTGAAAGATGCTGGGTTGATACCAAACAGACAGATTCTTCTTAAAAGACTAACAAAAATAAGATTTAAAAAAAAGGAAATCATGAAATATTATTTAAAATTTACAGGAGGAATAATAGTTGGGGTAGAATACAGGCTCACAGAAGTTGGGGCCAATCTTTTTGTAAAATGGAAGTTTCAAATCCAGACATATTTTTGATGACAATGATTTAAAAAAAATTGTTTCAAAACAAAAGGCTGACCAGTTATTGTTTTGTGTGTATGCAGTAGTTTTTAAGTACTGAGCCTTGATGTGGTCCAGGCCAATTAAATTGTCTACATGTACGTTGCTTATCGATGCAATGTGATGGAGAAAATGCAGAAAGTATTACAATTAAATTAATAACTCGCCCTTTACTTTACTTGGTAATCTAACCTCTTTTCTCTTGACAGTGATAATCTGAGATGTTCTAAATATTTGGCAATTGCTTTTGAGTAACCATTTTAAAGACAAAATGGATTGATTACTTAGATAACCTGCTTCACATCAAGTGCTTTACACCTAAGAGATTTTATCTTTGCACAAATTCATTGTTTTTCATAAAAAGGAATTTGATGACAGCTTTTTCAGAATCTTATTCCCCTTTCGCATGGATGCTAATTGTGTAAATATCTGAATGATATGGACATTACATGATTTGAATTGAAAGATCTGGCCATCTTTTATCTGAAAGATATGAGGGGTGAATTTGACAATGGAAAGCACAAATAATATGGTTATTCCTCGTATAGAGAGACAGAGAGAAATAAAAAATTAATCATCTACAAAAATATCTACTAGATTCTACAGATTACTACCATGTTAAAAACATAAAAATCAAAATTGCTTGGCCATTCATTCACCAGTATGAGATCATTTATCAATAATGATATAAAAATGGCCTTTTCCTTTCTGTACCAGCCAACATGGCTTATTCTTCATAGCTTGAAAGTGTCATAATCCAAGATAGCAAGAGAGAAGAAGCATCTAACATGTTTTAAAACTTAAAACACAATGAAGGAGATAAAAAGAAGAGCATTTAACAACACATAAGAAGAAAGCACATTTCTACAAAAGTTACAGGACAGAGCAAGAACAAAATTCCCGAAACCTTGATTTAGAGTGTGCCTATCTCTTCATTTACCTGGTCATAAATAAGTTAACCCCTTCTCGGGTTAGAGTCACAAAATATATTCCAAATCGACATCATCTGTCTCCTCTATCTGTATCTCTCTCTCTTAATGAGATAGGGAGACAGAAGAAATTTCTCATCGTAAGTCATTCATCATCTAAATGAAACAATAATCTACAACATTTACAGTTGTAATACATACACAAGCATCTTAGCAAAAAATCACTCATGTCATAATCTACACTTATTAATCAATGTAGCGACTAACTACTGGAGGTTCCTTTCCCCTTTCACCTTTGCAGCAAAAAAGAAAAAAGAAAAAGGTAATAAAAAGAAGAGAGAACGGAGCATTATTATGATGGACCCTCGAGATTTAGAAAACTGCACTTTTTGTTTCCCTCTAAGAAATACATGTCTGTACAATCATAATACTATCAGGCTTATCCCAAATAAAATTGAGTAAAAGCAAAATCAATTATAACTTATAGTGTTATCACATTGAAAAAACAATATAACACTTATGAACAATAACATTAATTAAACAAAATCGATCTCATAAATATTCATTTTCATTTTTTTCCCTTAAATTTCTGCTAAGCAAAAAAAAAAGACATAAGTGAAATCCTTATGCACTAAATGCATGGACATATCATATGGAATGTGATTTGTCAATTTCATGAGATGATTGTATCAAAATTATTGAGATAAATTGCAAATTTTGAGCATTAATCTTTAAAAAATAAATTAAAAAAAAACATTGCAAAGCAAGGCAAAGAGAGGGTAGTTTTTATGTTATTAAATTGGAGCAATAGTTTCAACAATTTCAGTCCCATATTTCATGAGTACCAATGAATCAAACATCTTGTGACAAACTTGGTGATTTATCTGAATGTAGCAAAAGGCCTCTAGGAAAATGAACAGTGATCATGAATAAAAGGTCGTAAAGTAAAAATGGAAAAGGGTTTTTATCTCTACTTTTAATGGCAATTTTGGTGTCTTCAGAAGAGTTTCTAGGAAAGCAGACAGAGTATGTCAGGAGAGATTTATACCATTCTTTTGGTAAATATAGACTTTGGAAAAAACTTGGATTTGTATGGGATCAAATCTCTGTTTTTTTAATCCTGGGACCCGTTTCACAAAGCCTTTTTTCAATGACAAATGACAAAAATCAGTGACAAATCTGTTGATAACCAATCAGAAGCAAGGATTTCAGTAGCTTATAACACAAACTGTCATTTGTCACTGATGACAAGTTTTGTGAAACGCCCCCCTGGACAATGGGTAGACCCTGGTATGAACTTCCTCCTGATATGACAACCAAATTTGAACAGTAGACAAATAAACAAATAATTATACCACTGAAATCATAAATACAACTTGAAAAGAAAGCAATACTGGACAATGTAACTCAATAATTTGGGATGTGAAAAGGCTACTACTCGAGCTGAATTATTCTCAATGATTGATAAAGAGCTTTCTCTCAAGATACATGATCATATCTTTGAATAATTTAAATATAAAATCAGGGTCAATGAAAACGTCATTATGCACTAGATGACATGTAAATTAATTAAACTGCATTATAAGGTACATGATGAAATCTTTAAATAATTTAAATATAAAATCAGGGTCAATGAAAAAGTGATTATTCACTAAATGACATGTAAATTAATTAAACTGCATTATATTACTTCATAATGATTAGGTCTAACAATGTACACTGCCTAATTACCTCATTTCATATTTATTCTTATTAGAAAGGAGATATTCGTCCAACATAATGGTAGATTAACAGGAGGTCAAGGTTTTGACTTTTGACATTCTTCTCTTTCTTTACCCCCTCTCTTTAAATAATTTCATTTTTAAAGTATTCTATTTTGAACACTCTAAGCATTTCTGCCAAAGTTTGTCAACCACAATTATTAATTCCAATCTTTATTTCTGAGCCTCTACAGTTGTTAACTTGTCTCGTGAAACTCAACACGGCTCTAGATTTGATCATTTGACCAAACTTATGGATCATGTGACTACTGTGTGCCATCATGTGACTATCATGTTGTGACCTTTGGTGACCTCATTTTAGGAGTGAGTTGCTATCCCAAGTAAGCATTACAGTTGGCAGCCAACCCAGGAGAAATTTAGACTGGATATAAGAAGCAGCGTGAGAGCTATGGCAGTTATTATGAATTCATGGGCAGGGAAGAATATCAATGCACTCAGGATAGCAACATCATTTACCACCAAATTTTGGAGCTAAAGTTAGAATCATGTGTTTTAAATACAAGATTGCACCGTCTGTTGAACAAGAAAAAGTTTAAATGAGCAACAACATAGCAATGCTGACCTAACAAACACAAACTTAATGATAAAAGAGAGAATAAATGACAAAACGTATACACCCTCTTGAGAAAGAAATGGTTGATAGTACATTGAGACTAGGCAACGGAAAACAAATAATGAGCACCGAAACATTTCAAAAGGGAGAAACTGAAGGGGAATTCAAGTGACTACTATTGTGCAGTGAAACATTTAATATAACAATTGTGATTACCCAGACACAGAAGAAATAAAATATTATTTTACAAAAAAATGATACAGCTGATCCAGATAAAGCTGGATGCAGAAATAAATCTGCCGTCACTACACCTTGTTGTTTTTTTTTTTCATGTTTTTTTTTTACTGGAAACTTTTTACAACTTTACAGTGAATAACAAGGTATGATGGCAAATGTACTCCTATTATGAAACATACAAGAGAACAAAAAGTAGAAGAAACCCAAATACTATGAAATGATATCTGCACACATGTTTCAGGGCTTTAAAAATAAAAGCCATCTGAAAAATTAGAAAGGTATCCTGTCGTGTCTTCATCCAAAAAAAGCTTAGTACCTTCACCGGATATCTGCACTACCCATTAACATCTCTTTTACCAAGGTTTCACCGACGACGTGAAACATTACAATCTATCCTTCTCTTCAATCATGATACTTTACAATAACAAGGAGAGACAGGAAAACAATTCATTTTTCTTATACAAAAAATTCTCTCCTTCACAAATATAGAAGAGGTGTTTTCCAATCAAGTTAATGACTTCATCAATGTACATTACAGGCATATATAATTAATAGACTTTTCGATAAAGCTGCACGGCTGCAATACATAGATGTGGTCTACCGGTACAGACCCGCGCGGGTGATCAAGGACATCAGAACAAAGTCAGTGAAAGTTGTTGGCAGTCTGAAACAAAACGACTTGGTCTTGGTTTTGTACTGCTTCCATGTATCCTTTGTCAAGGGGCGAGCTCACTTTATTCTAGTCACAGTAAGATAAAGAGTGATGCTCCACCTGGCGGTCAAGCGGGGTCTGTAGCGGCAGACTCACAAACGAGTGAGTGGCCGTTACTGTACAGCAATACTGTCATTATCCTCCGGCGTGAGTGGCTCTAACGGCTGGGCATTCGAGTGCGATAGGTGCGAGAGACCGCTCTTGGATATGTGATCTCCACCTCCCATAGACGATGGGGAAGGGTTGAGGTCCATGGCTGACATGTGTCCCCCTCCCATAGAGCCCAGATTGGTCTGATGAGGGGCGCCATGGGACATGGAGTTGTCATAAAGATGGTTGGCGTAGCCTCCTGGTGCACCCGATGACTGCCCCAAACAGGACTGCATTCCCCGACCATGGAGGTTATTGCCTAATGAGTAAATACAAAAAATAAACGAAATAGAGGAATAAACTTAACAAGCCAAGATTTTCTTGCAATATATAATATATTAAATTATTTGAAACTCAGATACGTGTGAAGAGGTTGTTATTTACTTTAAAAAAAGTAATAAAGCAATTTTCTGTACCAATTACCCATTAGGAAATTATACACTGGTACATTTGATTCATTAAATAACTATCTTTGCATCGGAGAACTATCAAGTTCAAAGACGGAGGTAAGAAAGGAAAAAAGTCAATGAAGCTACGGATAGAGACAGATGAGACACCAAGGGTTGCTGTGGAATCCCGATGGTCAAAACATTGTGGCTCTTCCGAATACCGGCAATCACTTGTATGTATTTGAATCTTTATACAGAAAATAAAACCAACCAACCAACAAGTGTTGAGCAGGAGCAACATGATTAAAGTCTGGTTTGCAGTATGTGGATGGAAATGAGGTTATTGTAGCCCTGTCAGCAAACAAGGAGGGCTGAAAAAGCTTGGTCTTTTTACTTTCCTTTATTCCCAAACATACAAAGTGTATACATAAGAAATGAATATGCTGCCATTTGAACAGGATGCATATAAAACACATACGGTAAATGTATGAATGATATTGCTCCATTTTCTTTATATCCGTAACATTGCGACATTGACCTGTAAAGGTTAGACCCAGTTTTACTTTTTCTTAATTTTCTATCTCTTTCATAAACAGGGGCTTTTCATAATCTGAATATGTTAAAAGATTTAATGAAGGCTCAAGTCATCTAGGTCTTACACCTAGACATCTTCCTTGATTCTAATGACACTTGACTCAATAACCCATGCCACAAGACCACACCGCAAGCCAATAATGATAAGCCATCACCAACGCGCAAAAGATACACATATCGACTCCCTTTTTACCCAGCCAATAAGTTTGAGGTTATGGTGTTAGATTTCACGGCTCAGGGTCACACTAACAAGAAAACTAGCTCACATCGGATTTCGTTTGTCACTCCGCTCCCAAATATTGACAACCCGCGAATCCTCCAAGGGACAAAAAGGGCCTCAACAGGAAAGGCATCAATTTAACACTATGATAACCGATATTACTTGTTAAGTTTCCTCAGCAAAATATTACGAGCAGAAAACAAACTGCCCTTCAAAACAGGATGAGGATCAAATCTTGGTCTCCCCACTTGCGATTAAACAGCACTTTTCGTGGGTAGGTCTTTGGGGTTATGCGCTCCTCGCCCAGTCACAGTGGCTCGCGTCTGCACACCTCATGGGAATTGACGTGGGGCAATTGGAACCGAATTCAAGGGGCGTTGTTTCCTGACCCGTCTCTTTCAGTAATGACTTGGTGTAGCCAGCTTAGCGTTTATTGGTCCTGGCAGGATCAGCCTGTACAATCATAGGGTTTCTAGCCCGAGTTTCACCCTGAACTGCAGACAAAGACACACCATGCTGCAGAGCTGTTTTTCATTGGGTTAACTCTTAAACGATTTCTTCCTGTAACTTGTCACTTCCATGTACTACAGCCGGGTCAGAAATATTTGGAACCAAAACGATTACCCCTGAACATAGATGTAACAGCCAAACTTAGAAAAGGCCAGAGAAAGATTCAAAGTGACAGAACATATCCTGCACCAAAAGCCACAACAGTTTGTTCTATTTGCCAAAACAATTGCAAGTATTGACTTGAATCTGCCTCTTGTATTTCCTTTGTACCTCAAAACTGACTGTACCTCTACTTGACACTTTACAAATAGTTCACTCCAAAATAGGGCATGCGAAAAAACATGTTTCAAACTTTATTCTACAATAATAAAGATTATACTAGAAATGCTGCTGTTTATGAACAAACTGGAATTCCCATCCACCATTTAGAGAATATAGCTAACCTAAGAGTCTCATTGCAACCATCAGAGCTAGCCTGCTTGCTTTGTAAGTTAATGCAAGAGGGTGTTCTGAGAGAAACAGAGACTTACCTACCTGCTAGTCCAGACTGTGAGACCAAAGGATCAGAACCAGGACCTGGTCCTCCAAGAGACCCTCTGTTAGGCATCTCTTCCACTTTCTCTTCTTCTCGCCGCTTAAGGCACGCTGCTTTGGGGTTCAGGTTACGTTCTGTTTAATAGCACAGAGACATACAACCAAACAGTTAGGCTGCTCAAGATCATGCTTTGAAACTGAACAAATAAATGGCATTTGAGCAAAGATAGATAAATATGAAAAACTTTGTTTATTTCATCAAAATAAAACTTTTTCTGAAAATAATAACTTTTTTAGATCTCCAAATCATGGATGATGAACTCCAGAGTCCAACAGCTTGCACAGGTTTACCCATAACAGTACATAACAGAAATAATATTTGATTGTTAATGACGTTCTACAATACATACCTTCAGCAGTACATGATCTGCATCATCCACGAAAAGCACATACACAAATTTGTTGAATTGTATTTTTATTGAATAGTCAGTTTTTTTAAGCCCTACTGTACTACTTGCAGCAAATTGCTCCCTCTATATAGAAACAAATGCCTAATCGGTGACCATTGGTCCCCCATGATAATATTTTTCTTATGTTAATTGAGAGCTGAGTTGATGAGATAACCACCTGTCCAGTGACCTTGCAGGGTGGTCTAATCCCTCCTATAAACTAGTACAGATGGGCTTTAAATGAAAACCATTTTGGGTTTTGGGTTCGAGGGAGGAGGAACTTACCTCTAACTTGATGCTCCAAGGTAGTGATGACTGAGACTGCTGAATGTAGTATGGTGAGCTTGGTTTGGGCCTTATCCTGCTTGAGGTGTAACTGGCACATCCTACCCAGTTCTTTGAATGCTTCGTTGATGTCCCGAACGCGGATGCGCTCCCTTGCATTGTTGGCATGACGACGCTCTTTCTCCTTCACCACCTTCTGCTCAGGTGAGAGCCCTTCGTCGTCTGACTCACTCCTACAAAAATCAAAAGACCTTCATGAATTTCTATGCAAATAATAGCTTGGATCTACTAATTGGAATAATATATGAAAAATACATAATTACATTATTTGAATGCTAAATAAACAAATTTTTCTCAAACTAAATTAATTTTTAGGCAGAGCAATAACGGAACAAATCTAATTATCAAGAGAAAGTCTTCTGAACGGTCCTGATTATCTATCATAAAAAAGCTCCTTCAATGGATATTTTTTAATTGAATAATCTAAAAGAAAAGAACTCAATTTATGTGCTTCTACAACCCACTGAAACACATTTGCATCATTTTGCAATTAATTAGTATTTTGGTTCTAAATCAAACTACCTATTTTAGTTTTAAATATCTATCATATATAAAATGATGGTTCCAATTATAACCAACGACTTAATATTTTGCATGATACAGTCATTCGAACTGTGTATTTGGGGCCAATTGGGGGTAAACATCTTTAAGAAGAAAAAAAGGGGAAGAAAAAAAAAGACCAGGTAATACGGAAGTCAGATCCACAAATTTGAAAAGACAACAAGCTTTTCTACATCATGCCCTAGCTTATGAAATATAGACCAAATCATGACCAATTCAAGCTGAAATGTAAGGGCCAACCGCCTACAGACGTGTGTACCTAATTTCTTGATCTATTTTCAAGATAAACCTATCACTGTATGCCATTTTCATTAGCAAGCAGTCCAGGGTGGGCAAAAATCTTGCATGAAAAATCGATTTGCTCATTATGCTCATCTCATTAAATGTGGGTATTAATGTAATAATCATATGTAATTGATCAAGTAGGAAGAAGGAATAGATCTTATTTGCCAGTGGCTCTGTTTTAATGTACAAGTCAGCCTTTGACGAAGATGGTAAACCAATACCACAAAACCTCACTACCAGGTCAACGAGTACAACCAACCTCATTTAAGTCCTCTCTTTATTCCATTTCTTCCTTCCTGTTTTGTCTTATCTCTATTTTTTCCTTTCTTTTGGATAAGTAGGTCAATAATTTCTTATGAGAAAAATATGGTGTAGTAACCTTGCTAATGACTGGAAAAAATACGCATTTATTTGGCACATCAATCTCTTTTCCCTTCGAGGCGATCAACTTATATTAAAATTTACAGCTTTTGACTGTATATTTAAAAGGAACAAATATATGCCTCCATCAAAATGAATGTAATTCATAATGTGTATAATTTTATGATGTCTTTAAAAGAAACTTGGTTGGTTTGTCTATGCCTACATCATACTAATACTCCCAACTCATTATGACCTAAATGCAATAATACGGTCTGTAGGATCCTATAAGTGGTTCTCAAGCAAGTCATAGGCTGAACTGATTGAAAGTCACGTCTAGATCTCTTAGGTTCATGCATGCTCCGCTCTGACATACATGGTGTTAGGTCAGAAAAGCTCTGACAATGTGTTAGGTAAAGGAGAGAGAGAGTACTAACTCTGGTGAGCCAGGATTGAGGAGCAATAGACTTTTGCCCAGGCTTGAGAGCAGCTGCCCCGCGGCACTAGCGGTACCACCACCACCGCCGCCGCCGCCACCACCACCACTTCTTGTGTCGTTCCTGAATTGGATGAGATAAAACCAGGGCATGGGGTTAGTCACATTTGTATCTACCTTCCCCATTCAATCGAAAGAAGCAGGTTAAACATTTCATCATTATGCTCTAGAAGATTCACATGAGTATTAAATAGATAGATTACATAATTATCCATGCGGTAATCGAAGTTCAGAAAATCAAACCATGTACATTACATTTCATGCTTGAACATTTGAATTGAACTCATTCTTGTTCCTAACAAGCCTACTATTAAACCTATTAATCACAAAAAAAGTCTCTGCATGTTTTTTTTCATACGGCACCTAGAGAAAGGGTCAAACAGTCAAACTGTTCGCTACCTCATCTAGAAATGTGGTAGGCTGGCGAATTATAAAGTTCTGTACTCGTATACGTGATTTATGCACCCCAATGGGCGATTACTTCATCCCTTACAACCCACACACAAGTACAAACTTTCTAGAGCAACTTTGAGGGGGACTTGGATTAAGCGAAGGGGAAGGACCCATAATCCAGTAGACTTCCTGTCATCTCTGTCTCATTAGAGGAAGCCGAGGGATTAAGAGGGGTAATAACAGGGTAATTAGAAGGGATTAACAACAAGAGGGTTGTCAGCAGAAGACACAAGCGCCTCCAAACCTGCTCTAGTTTAACTCCCTAGACACCATCCATCCTTCTTATCGTACATGTATCTGACATATCAAATTTAGTGCGGTACTCTCGCCCTGGCTTTTACCTCACCTTATCCCTTCAAGCTATAAAAGATTACTTGAAAGCGAAACTACAAGTTTAATGTTTCTATCAAGTAGGCCCTTCAATGCCCTTTTAAAAAGATGAAGCCTTTTGGGTTGATAGCACTTCAAATGCTGAGACTGTGAGGGTTAAGGGAAGAATCACCCTGATAGTCTTGTGTCATTCTCAGAGTTCAATTACATCCGATACCCGATCCCAAGCACAGTGTCAATACTATAAGCTGCCGGTGACAGGTCACATCAATAAGTTTTTCCTCCTCTCATCATTTTCAGCAAGGAGATGAACACATTAATGTTTGAATTTTGAACAGTCATGCTTTGTGAAGATTGAGTATAATCTTCTCTACAAGATTATATTCCTATAATGATAGTCATTCCCTCCTAGTAACTGGGAGAAAAATCACCTCAACCGACTTCAACCGCAATTTCTCTAATGTAAGATTTCCCTGTTACAGGTCGAGTAGTGTAAAAGCCAAGAGTCGGTAAATAAAAAAATTAGAGCCAGCAAACCTACATTTTACACAAAGAAGCCTATGGTGATTATCTTCTAGAACCAGTATCGGTTTCCAGTAAAAAATTGAGATATCCCTACTCCTATAGAGAATCATAGATAGTAACAAATTGCCATTGACAATAAAGTCAATGTTGACTGACGAAGGAGAGAATATAAGAGCCTTATTGTACATACTTGAACCTCTTTTTGTTTTTCATGGCATTGGCAGCATCTCCTTTCTTCGTGGACTGTGGACCTCCGTCTTCTCTCTCATTATCCAGCATCAATCCTCCTCCACCGCCGCCACCTCCTCCTCCTCCTCCTCCACCTCCTTTCGTCTTGCTCTCTTCTGGTTTGGTCTTCTTCTTTGTGTTGGTATTGGTAGGTGATTTGAGGCCGTTGTCTAGTCCACTCCCCATCATCTCCGCATGCACTGTAACAACAAACAAAATCAAACATCATCAAAACATACATCACTACAAAATAATGTCATTTCAAAATTAATATACTTTGCTATAAACTTGTTTATACTATTTCACCTACACCATTTTAGGAAAAAAATGAGCAACCTTATGAATTGTCACATTTAAACATGAGCAGAAATAGCAGTGAGACTAGTTCAATGAAAGCTAGTCGGCTTAAATCCTTAGGTGGTGTTGGATTAAGGGTAATACAAAATTAAAATGACTGAAGCTCTGAACATGGTCCCTGGTACAATTGTTAATGCATCTGAAGGACCCAGATGGAATAAAGAATATTTCACATGACAACATTGACCACTTTCATTCGTATCATAAAGTAACGGTTGAACAAAAGTGTAATAAAGAAAACAAATAAAAAGGAGCAGAGATCGATTTAGATATGGTAAGCTATAGAGGACAAGAAATAAGAAATACAGTATTTACATGCATTTTGCTCTTCACGTGTTGGTAAAACTTCACATTAATCATTTCATGAGGAGTGTGACATTTAAGGCATTTATCTTGCAAACCTAGGAAACGGCAATATGTCTGGCTTCAAAACCTCGGCTCAGATATATGTGAGTTATCGCAGTAGGAAACATTCATTTCGGTTGCATTAGCTTCCCTCTGCAATCATAAACCACTAAAATGTTTGGGAAGTCAATAAATTGCCTTATCACCTTTACACCTCCAGTGCTTGGGCAACACTAAAGAAGTAATCTTATATCCCAAATTTTGGGCCGGCCACTGATTGAATTACGCCTCAATTTCAAACTGAATCTCTGTCGACCTCCGCTATCGAATTATGATTTCATCGGTGAACTTCCTTAGAATCATCATCCAATCCTCCTCGTCTTACGCCAGCCATGTGAACTTGGCTTATCTTCACCTCTCTGCGTCCCAAGACTGCTGCTCCATTTCAACTTTCTTTTACAAATCCCTCCTTCTGTCTTTCATCTAAATATCTAAATTTTCATTTACCTTTTGAATTTGTTCATACTGATATACCCTTGAAAATGTTTCTACCTGTATTAAAGTAGGGCTTCAAGGCACCGTAGGTTTCAAATCGGGTCCTGAGAGCCAGAAGGGTGTTATCTATTTAGTTTGATATGACATATTCTCCTTATAGCTTATTTCTTAATATGGACATATAATTTCAGTTTACTTCTTTAAACTCTTATTTATTGAAGCTAAAGTTGATCCGAATCGTCCCATCTTTCTACCCATAGTTGGATGTGCCAATGATTGACAAATTTTGTAAGGACCTTTTCCACTCCGGAGGTCGAGGCGGCCAAAAACTTCCTCTTTGAATTGAAATGTCTCGTTCCCCTCATTGAGGGGGTCGTTGAGGATGTCATTCTAGTTTATTACCAAACATAGGCTACATAGCAGGATATGCCCCCCTCTCCCCATCTCTCTCTCCAGTCTATCTGTAGTCCCTTCCCCCTTCCTCCTTCGTCTCTGTCTCTATTTCTCGTTCTGTCTCTCTTTCTGTCCATCTCTCCCTCTCTCTCTCTCTCTCTCTCTTTGTCCCTCTCTCGTTCTCCCCTCACTCTCTCTTTCTCCTCTCCCTCTCTCTTTCTCCCCTCCCCCTCTTTCCCTCTTTCTAGACCTGCCTTCATCAGCTCGAGTTTGCCCCCTAAAAATTGCGCCTGTCCGAGCTAGTTTGTGTTAAGCGTATCGGTCAAGTGAAGACGCAATTTTGAGCTTCAGGAAAATATCCCATGTCTGAAAATAGCGGGTTATCTGGCAAACTTGAGTTGATGAAGACAGGCCGCCTTCTCTGTCTTTCTCTCTCTCCCCTCTCCCCTCTCTCTCTCTCTCTCTCTCTCTCTCTTTATAAAACTGTTCACATTTCTTCATATATGAATCCCTACTCCTCTGATATGCACTGATATGACTTTGTCATGACTAGTAAGGAGGGCATGACTTACCCCATGCCCATAACATGCCAAGACTGATTAACACCAATTCACAATGAGTGAGGGGCACAGGAGGGTGGTTACATGCATGATGGTGGCATAGGATAGGGGGGCAAAGAGAAGACAGGTCCTGGGTCATTAGGGTCATCAGCCCCTACATACAAGATCAGCATCAAAAGTGAATAATTGGATACAATAGAGTTATCTTGATCAATCGTCTACAGAAACAGTGTAGGCCTTATAATCATCCGGCTACACTAACTTGAAGGTTCCTAGATTCACCTTCAATAGGAAGGGGGAAAAGCTGGAAGCCAAGGGCAATTTACCTCTTAAATGTTCATAATGATGAGTAAATTAAAAGGGAGGGTACTGTCAGAATGCTGTGATGCTATAGTGTCAAAAACAGCCCTTGTAAAAAATATATACATGTTATGTCATCTGTGGGGGCCAGAAAAGAGTCAACTTATGGAACCTGTTTAACCGAACAGAGTTAACATCCTTTGGACCAAAATACAATACTTTTAACCCTAATTATGATTTTTTTCTCTCTCCCATTTCTCAAATTTTCAATAGAAGATTATCATGGTAACTGCCCTAGTGCTTTCCAAGTGGGTTCAACAACTGTAGACCTACTGCAGTATCATTTACTACCATACCCCAAGAAACATTAGATGCATGTGAGGTCCTGAGAACTCTTCCACTGGAACTCTTCAAAACACAGTTGTCATACCAATTCCAAACAAGACTGGCATTTTTTTTTCTCTCTCTCTCTTTCCTTCCTTCCAAGTTTTACCCCCTGGTGGTATATTAAATTAGACTTACAAGGAGCTTGACTTCCTTTTAGTAGCATAGTACCCTACACTACTTTTCCAATGTATATTAAATTCATGTGAAATGCATATATTCTTAAATATCAGCTGTCGTGGAAAATAATTAATATCAGTGAGCAAGTTTCCAAGCACACTTCTCCCCTTCTATTTACTTATGATCCAGAACCTCAAATACCAAACAACTCTTCTGAGAGATCTAGATAATCCTTCATATTAATTTGAATTTCCTTTTGAAATGACATTCTGAGATCCTTGTTTATTCAAATGCCCTCAAGGTATATATGACAATGATTCATCGTATTCATTACAGAAGGTATAAACAAGTACAAAGCATTTCCTTCAAATATATGTTGCTTCCCCCATGACTACATAGGGCTGAAATTATGAAATTATGAAAAATTATAATAATGTGAAATTTAATGGAATAAAGACTTCATTAATGTATTATTTAATGTCATGATAATTAACAATAACCAATAATTGATTGATTTCGTACAGGTACTAACAAACTTTTCCTAACAGAAGATACTAGAGGTTTTTCTTTTAACTTTAATCTATTTATTTTGTAAAAACTAAAATAATCAAATATGTGTTCGTTGCTATTTATGTCACTCACTCTCTCTTCTTCACAACCTCCTTTCTCTTCTCTCACTTTCCTCCCTACATTAAATGATCTCCCTTTGACCCCCTTCTCCCCCCTCCCTTTCTTTATTTCTACACAAAATTATACTGCTTTTATATATAACACTTTCTCCATTTATGTTTCGAGCTCTGTTCCATTTTAATTTCTTACACCTTGCCCCTCTCATGACCTTCCTCAACCCTCATCCCTCTCCCTCAACCCCACCCTCTCTCCCCTACATTAGTCTATATTCTTTAACTAATTCCTTTTTCTTGTGCCCCCCCCCCCCCCTCCCCCACCCCACATCCCATTCTTGCTCTCCTTGCAAGATGCAAAATAGACAGATGCTGTAAACTTTGTCATCTGAAAGTACTTTGGGCTCGGATGGAAGGGAAAAATCCATGGCTTATTTGGACTTGGGCTCAAAACATGTTGTCTGACTTGACTGAGGTTGAGATAACACAGGAGAGAGAGAGAGAAAAGTAGAGGTGAAAACTACACGTCTATTCCGGAGCATATTGCATAAATTCACAAACATATCCCTGTTCTGGAGTAGGAGAAATGTTTCTAGAAATGCCGGAGAGATTTGATTGAGAAGTACCACCTGGGATTCATCTGTGTTTCAGGGAAGGGGAAAGGCTCGGATGCTAAGGCACACATGAACTTGAGGTCTCACCAATTTTCAGTCAGGAAACAAACTATTAACTAACAAATGTATCAGAAAATATATGAGAGTATACAGTATGCATGTATTGGAAAAACATGTGTAAAGTATGTTACCGAATAAAGCCATTGAACCTATGTAACCATAGTAAAAAAGAAAAAAAAAACTATTGGTTTTTAGAAATTACAATATAGCCTGGTTGATATGAGTCAGCTTTCCTGCACTTGACCTCCTTTTATTTCATGAAAGTTTGTAATAGTCATGAAACAAAACTAAAATGAAAGCAAAAGGAACTGTATTTCAAGAAACGTCAATAAAATGGATGGGGGGGGGGGGGGCATTGTGTTTAATCCATGAGTCACTGACTTAAATCTTTTTTTCTTTTCTTTTTTGCTGTCTTCCTAAACGTATGTCTTGCAGAGAAAATTAGCTCAAATTAGCTGGGCTTTCTCAGCAGGTTGCTAGACTTTTTGCTTTCACTCCAGCTGTGTAGAATCTTTCTCTACCTCTCTTTCTTTTATCATGTATTTTACCAACAGAAATAAGAAAAGAAAAGGAAGTAAAGAAAAGAGAGAAATGGTTGATTGACCTCTGATCATGACCTCTTTACCATGGTAACCAACCTCCACCCTTAAACATATTGCCAAATAAAAATATAAGAAATATTTACAATTCATGTCTATATGATAAGACTTTTCCTGTCACCATTGTGATGGTTTATCAGAGGCCCTACATTAATTACTCATCCATTTGTTTGCTTCATGTTAGTTTTCAGGCTGAAACCTTAATCATCATCTATGGACATTTGATAGTGCATTCGAAAACAAAGTATTTTAACTTTGACAAGAAACATTGTTGAGAAACACGATGAGATGAACTCTTTGAAATTTGGCTGACGAAATTAAGCTGTTTCCAATCCTCTTAAATATGAAAATCCTCCTCGTCCCTAAAATATTTATCTCATGATTCATTATCAAAGTAATGACTCTCAGAGTAGCAGTAAACTTCATCTAACGTTCTCATCTGTTCACACTCAAAACCATCCCCATACTTCCCTCATTTGCATTCTCAGAAAGAAACCCTTTCTCATTTCTGAAGTGCATTCCATTCCCTCATGTAGTGACTTGCAGAAAATATGGAACCCCCAAAGGTTCTGCTAATAGCTTGACATTAAGCTCTTGATTTACTGATTAATTAGTCATGTTTGTCTCTGACCTGTAACCACGGTAACTGTCTATTCATGATCAGATCATACCACGATTGTGAATAATATTCTAGCATGAAAAGTGTCAGATAAATCAATAAAGCTGGGCTATTTTAACCAGACAGGTGGAATCAATTACAAATTTTGCAATCACCCTGTGACTTTACGAAATCAAGCCTGACTGCCAAGAAGCAATATTTCACTTTTACTTATATCACATATAACTGATATAGGCCACACTAAACAAATACAATCGGGCTGAACTATTTATAACATGCACCAGTGAAGCATAATACCCGTGTACAAGCATCATCAAAGTATTTGCATACTTCTTTCATTCTCGAGTAAGAACGAGGTTGCAGTTTCATTTCAAATTAGTGACATGGGTAGCCCATTTATGACAGCTTTAGTCCCACCTATCCCAAAGTTTGTCAGTAAGACAGCTGAACCCATGCCTGATCAATTTGTCAAAAGCCACATGCTTTAGGGCTTTGGAAGACATCAGCAAACAACACAACAAATCTGGAACCAGTTTGCAGGGGGGTTTCTTTCTTCTCAATGTAACAAGGAATATGCTTAGCTACCAGACTTGAGATAGGATGAAGCAATTCATGTCTGTCACCAGATGGAAATCTTCTTCCTTACAACTCCTCAACTTTCTTCAAGGAAGGGGGAATGCATGATGGGCATTCGCAGAAGGGGGACAAGTCTTTCTTGGATGTAGGTAGAGACAAATATGTTCAAACTTAGACTGGCTAAGGTGGAAGAATTCAATAATGTATTTTCGAGGTAAAAATCAATGATACGTCTATTCAAAACAAGAGTATGAGTGGAACTAGGTTTTCAATTAAAAAAATTAATATTAATCTATCGGTATATGAACTGACCATAACATGACTGATGATTCTCACATAATTTCGTGTTTATAAAAATATCTACACCGAAGTGAATTCTAATTGCCAGCTTTATTTGGGAACATGAATGTATGTGACTGGTTCCTATTACAGCACAGGTATGCAACATGACTTCCTTTCAAACAATAGACAAAGAACATTCAGTCAGTCATCCTGGAGCTGGAAGGGACCTAGCGCGTTCCACAACCTTGGGTGTAAATTGAAGTCAGACGTTGGAGGGAGATAAAGGATTGAATGCTATACCCTTGTCGGCTGCTGGCCCTTGAGGTGGCGTAATGCCTACGCAAGGAGGATAAACCTCCTACAAATGGGGTTTATCATTTATTACCCCTCCCCCATCCCCCATCCAGACTGTCTTCCCATCCCATGGTCGATTACTTCAAAATCAAAATCAAATAATTACATCCTCCAATCCTCCATCAAAGAAACCAGGATTCATCTTTAGTTCAGACAGCAATAGTTTAGCCATGACGCATGATAAATGAATCAACAACTCCATTTACACCTAGCCGCAGCAACCCCGCCCCCTTGATTTCACCATGACCAGGTACAAACCAACTTATCATGAGAGTCAAGGGTAGAGAATGTTATTCTCACCATTTACTTTAGGTGTGCAATATTCAACTAAAGATATTATAAGGTGAACATTCATTATTTTAAATTGGATATTGCTAAAACTTTCACTGACCTGTTCTAAAAACCAACGTAGTATATGGGTGTATTTCCCCTTTCCTAGTCATGGCAGTGAATTTCAGAAATATAGGTGTATGCCATTTGGCTTTTTTAAGATATTGTTCCCTCAATTTCCTAGATTATGTGCTAAACCTGAACCCTTCCCCCCCCCCCCCCCCCCCAAAAAAAAAAAGTTAATGGGGTTAATGGGGTAACTGCTTGCTTTCACAGTAATAATGTTGAGGTAGGCCTTAGTCTGAGATATGAAAAGGACCAAGGATAAAATAAAGATGTCTCTCACGAGACAGGTTTAAAAACAACAATGTGAATGGTCCCGTGTTTGATAATGAGAATGTGTATGCTGAGAAGACATAAAGACTGAGATGTGAACTGCACTACAGGTGAATATGAGGGCATCTGTGATGAGTTGGAATTAGGTCTGCAACTCTGTAATGTTCACTAGATTGAAGGTAAACATGGACATGTCTATAGAGAGACAGACTGACAAATATGATATGAATGAAACTATAGATGAAAATGAGATTGTGTATGATGGGAAAATTTCAAGTCGGACGTATTAACAGATTCTTACATGACAATGAAGATGTGCAGGCTAAGAAGAAATTTATGATGAGATTGTATGAAGAATCAGATGTAAGCAGGACTTTAGGAGAAGATAGAGATTAAGAATGAGATGTGAACAGGTCTTTAGGTGAAGATGAGGAAAAAGAATCAGAAGTAAGCAGGACTTTAGGTGAATATAAGGATTAAGATTAGATGTGAACATGACATTAGGTGAAGATAAGGATTAAGAATGAGATGTGAAGAGGACTTAAGGTGGAAGATGAGGATGTCTCTCAGCAGGAGATGAGAATCTGATTCAAGCACAGTGAAAATAAACATACGCTCTCAAAACAGAGACTCCGCTTCATGTGTGGTTACAAGAAAGATGCCTCTTCTAAACTCAACCTCTCTTCATGCAGTCAGTCAGTCAGACTCGTCACTGTAACTCTCTGATACAACCCTCATTCTCAGGTTTGCGTGTTCTTCATCAACTCATTTTATACTTATAAATATCTTTAAATGTTTAAGAACTACACCTAGATCCTTCACCCTTGAAATTTTAACAGGGATAAAAGAATGGTTGAGAGGTGAAAATGAAGCCATAATACACTGAGATTGCCATGTGTGAATGATCTACCATCACAAGAAGCCCAAATCCATGGATGAAAATGCCACATATTTGAGACCCTTATCGCAGTTAGGACCATCTCCATCAAGCTCGGAGGAGGCAGTCCCTGTTTCTTAGGTGATGATATTTTGAGCTGGACAAAATGGAATCAAATTAGAACAAGGTGACCGTAGCAGAATCAACTACAATCCAGAAATACAAAACAGTGTAATATAAAACTGGGATCTGATCACTTTGGGAAACAAATATACCACGTCCTACTCTAGTTGAATTTATGAATCAATGACCTCTGTAAATATCTCTTGCTCAATGCCCCCTTCCCTCCCCCAACTCTCCAATAAGAAAAGTAAAATAAATATTAACAAAATCAACAAAAAACAAATAACAAACAAACAGAATCAACAAGAATTTGTTAAAACAAATAGTTTACCTCCATATGGTTGTCCAGAATTGAGGTCTTGTGATAGCATGCCTCCCCTCTCCGATAATGACTGTGGACCACCAGGCTGTGAAACAAAGAAAGAATTATATAAATTGTTAGGAAAATTGTCCTGGTATTGCCATATATTCAACAACATATATATGAAGCATAGTTATCTCCAGTTTGTAGTATTTTCTAGACTCAAGAGGAAAAGTTGTATACCAGTACATTGTTAATTATTCATATATTACAAATATTAGCATTTTTTTTTTTTTTTTGAATTTATTATTAAATATATGTTTTTAACAAATCAAACAATCATGCACAATCAATTGAAATTACATCGTCGCATCTTTACATAGTTCAAATAAAGCATGTTTCGTTTTCTTGAATAACAGTGTTTTAAAAAATGTATAGCTTTTTTGTTTTACAAAACTTTTCGATCTTTAATCGGTTATGGATTAATCTTTTAAAAATACAAAGAATAGAGACTTCATGAAACATAAGTTTGCGATTTTCTGCTTGCTTAAAGGTACTATTTCCCATTTGCAGGCCAAAAAAATGAAAAAGTTAAATTCCAACTGCATTTGAAAGATAATACTTATTTAGAACTTCCCTATAAAAGGTGGGGCTTGAAAATGTCATCAAGTGGGAAAATAATGACTATTAGTTGTCAAATCGACTTTAGGGCTATAGAGCCCAAAAGTAATAGTCTTGATTTTCAGACAATTGTACTGAATGGTCATACGTTTTATGCTGCGCAAAGATTCAATCAGTTTAATCTTGGCCATCACAAGAAGTGGGTTATTGATGTAGACAAATGCTCATGTACCCTTTACAACTCTTTTAATGTTTGCTATTACCAAAGAAGAAAAAAAGCCAGTCAGTCACTCAATAGTGTTTGACAGTGAAGTCTAGCAAGTAAACAGGTTTCCTTGCTTACGGTAATTTGAATATGAGGACACTGCTAACGTTTAAATTTCACAGATAGGACATACATGACATATTCATAATTCCTGCAAAGTTCTACAGAATTTGAGGTTGGCTGCAAAAGGGACATAGTACCTTTAAATGTTAGATAAAATGCGTATTTTGCAAAACAAACATTAGTGTTAAATCATAATGAATGATCAGCTGTTCAAACCAATTACAAAATGCTTTGGTTTATCTTTATAAGGTAACTTTTTAGAAAAGAGATGTCCTTGCCAGACACACATTTCTAAACATCTTTAAAGAAATGAAAAGAAATTACCCGGTAGCATATTAAAATGGAAGAAAATATCAGATACAAGTAATATTAAGCCTGTTGACATTGTAAGGTCATAAACTGCAATTCAACTGAGACAAATCAAGACTATCTTATTTAATAGAAAAGGAAAGAATCTCAAATGTTGTGATACTGGAGCATCATGTCATGGCGCCTCTTCTTCCTCTCTCCTACCCGGAGTAGCAGGCATGGTGGAAGACAGGGTCATGGTCATGCTCCGCGAGGAGGAATCGTGTCTACTCACATCGTCAAAACTTTACTAAACATGTCATTCACTCATGCAAAAATGAATCACAAATCATATCTTTCAAACTTCGTAAGAAATATCCTCAAATCATGACATTTGCATTAGTACAACCTTATTTCACTACACAACTGTCTTCAAATTGATTTAATTTTTTGTAATAGTTTTTTTTTTTTCTACATGTAGTTGTCAGAGTGGCTTTATATCTTTTCTTCTACATTATCAATGGTTACAAATTTACACCCATACCAAAACTAACATGAGATAAACATTTATTTCATGAAATATAACTCTCCATATTGAGCGAATATCTTATTATTGGAAAAAGACTACTTTGTATCCAAGTCAGGAATGACCAACACTATTCTACTTTGCTTCATGAAGTCTTGTGATTTAGGTCATTTGAGATGCAATATATTCTCTGTAATCTCATTCAAAGTTTTCAAACATAAGTCTATAGTTGGAAATTGAAAAATGTATTCAATGCTTTTAGTCATAGCCTACTTTATATAAGGTTTCACTTTTTTTTCTCAGAAGTCCTACATTACTCTGACGTTAGTCTTGAGTTTGAGTATGAGAAAGCTTACAGGATTTGACCTGTGTTTTGGGCCGTATTCCAAGTGAAAGTAAAAGGATTGTTTTGCTATGTCTGTAGTACCTCCTCTGTACTGATGAGAACGCTGACCTCGTGTGTCATTCCCAAACACGCAAATTGCTCATCATTTTAAGACCAGAGGAAACATGTCAATAGTTTCAGACAACAAACCGTATGAGACCAGGGGGTGTTTCACAAAGATCCAAAGTTTAACTTGTCTCTAAGTTGGACTTAACACTAACAGTTATGAAAAGTTATTTTAAAAGGCATAAAATATTGATTCAAATCATTCTATTATCAAGGAGATTTCATGTTCTTGATGTGGAATTAATAAAATGTCTAAAATACTTGGAATTTTCTCTTTAAAAAAAAATAATTTAAGGCTACAAATGGCTCTCCATAATGTTTAAAGTAGATATTCATTGATTTTAAAAACTAGCTTTATTTTCATTATTGCAAAGTTGAAACTTTGATTCGACAAGGTTATCAAAATTCAATGCTTGGAAACATTCGAAGTAACGATTATTATAAATTAAAAAATGCTTAAATACAGCCCCGGCATAGCACCCGAAGAGCTCTCCGAACGCTGCTGAGATGTGTGAGATCACAGTATGGACATGACTTGCACAAGCAGACGATGTCCCATGACAACCCACACATTTTCAGTGCCTGTGTTTTCATCTTCTCTTGAGTTCTTTCTCTTACTTCACTACTGGCAGGCTAAATGTATGATCTATTGCCTCACTCTAAACCCCGCGCATGGTTTAATTTTGATGACAAATGCAGCGATACAAAAATAAAGGAATCTGTCGCTTGTAAACAAAATAAGACGCCATTGTATATTCAGCTGCACACACCGGGGTATGTTCGGCGTTTCAAGAGGGAACAAATGCCGTCCTTAATATCATTCCGGGGCTTTTCAATTTGAAAGTCTGGTTTCTTTGATCGTTAAGTAACCCCTATCCTGTGTATTTACAAGCAAAAGATTTTAGTTATCAGAATCGGGTCATATCCCCTTATGAATGGTTTGACATGCCATTACATTTATATACACCAAACTCATTATAATTTGACAAATAATTGCTTTGCAATTATGTTCATTCTCGATGGGATGTCGTCTGCTTGGGCAGTGTTGGTCCATATAGTGACGTCATTAAAACATCGTTACTTTTCTGGCGAATCTCTCGTATATCCCAGCTGCTATGGAGGTGGTTGTATTTGTATTTTTATAAATCACCCGATATGTAGTTGACCTAAAACTTGTCCGATGGCCATCTGTTAGCTTACCAGTTTCTAGTGATACATTAGTCGACATATTTGTGAATTTCTTTGAATTTCACCTTTAAGTACAACTTAGAGTTAAGTTCAACTCAAGATCTTTGTGAAACACCCCCTGGCCTAGAAACAAAATCCTGCATGAAACCTAGACTTACTAGACTGGTATTCATTTTCATATGCAAATCTACTGTAAAGATTTAATTAAATTTTAAAAAACACCCCTGCCCATGCACACACATAACTGTTGGCGAAACATGACACAGAGTCAGTATGATTATCAATTTTTTTCTGGAAGCAATACTGACTTGGTGCAGATTACATAGGCTTATAAGTGATTTTGACATCTTAATATATAAAAGGGAGCTCTGTAAATAAATGATCAACAATTAATTTCCATGAATAAATTTCATCAAGACAAACTTTAATCATAGCAGATACCACTTTGTAGAACCTAGAAATGAATCAAAAAGTACTTTAAATTGTTAGTAAATAAGTGAAACTTAAAAAAAAAAAAATTGATGGATAAAAAGGATAAGGGAATATTATTAAAGTATGGAGTCTTGAGTAGGTTCTCCATTGTATGGAAATGGAAACTGTTTTTCAAAAGACTTTGACAAGGTTACTTTAGATGTCAATTTACTGTCAAGGATGATTTTCTTAATGGTAGAAATTATGGACATGTGGCAGAGAAAATTGGATCTGAATATGGCATGACTGACAATGAAGACATGATAACAGATTCCAATATTTGATCTATTTATCCAGTTTAGTGGGTTTCAAATTGCTTCTGCAACCATATCACTTCATGTCATAAACATTAATTGATCATATTTTAGCTCGTGAATTGCTCAAGTGTGGTGTGGGAATTTAAAAGAAAATCCTTGAGAATTTTTTTTTTTACAAGGGCAGATTTTTCTGCAGGTCCTCCCACTTCCAAATAAATTATTATTGCATTGCCTTGTATACAAAAAATACTTTCAGTATATCAATGGATATCATTACATTAATGTATTTGATATATTTCCTGAAAGATGAATAAAACTGAACCGATCTAAGAACTATGCTTATTTCTTTGCTCATTCTTATCCTCTGGGGTTTGGGCCCCTCTTGCTTCATTTGGTGGCAATACTTCACAGCGGCGGACGGCAAAGAATTTAAAAGGTTTTTCCAAAACGTGAAATAAAATGAATGAAGAAGAATAATAGGAAGAGGGTAGAGAGAGGGGTAAAACAAAAGGATCGGAGGGAATAACAGAGTGGAATTATAATGGTGAGACAAGCAAAATTTGTCAAGCTGTAGTGATATGATGACAGACAAATAAATGCATGTGGATTGAGAAGCCAAGGTGAGGTAGGGATGACGACAGCTTCCAAGATCTGAGTGCATCTACAACAAGCCAAGGCAACTAGCCGGCGAACGAATTTTTATTAATCACTGGAATGGCTATGGGGCCTAAACAAGAATACATTTCTTCCAAATCTTTAAGGCTAAGAGAGAGTATTTTTTGAATTTTTTTCCAAACATCTACTCAGCAATATTGTTATTCTAATAAACTCAACATCTTACATTTAAAAAAAAAGGAACATAACTATTCCCAAGTTATAAAATAACGCTCTCTAAACAGGGGACTCTTTCCTTTGAATTCTTTCTATTTCCTTTTTATCAGGAACAAAAGAATGCAGAAATCAGCAGCACAAAACAGAAAGGAAAAAATCAAAACAATAGACAAGAAATCCTGCTCATATCTGGTTCAATAGTACACTCAAGTTCTTGTAGGGGTGGGGTGGGGAGAGGTGGGGAGCAGACGATACAAGCACGTCATGGGGAATACTACCCTTCGGCACGCAATATTCAAGAAGTAAAACCAGACAATCAATTCTCTCTAGACGTAACACGCACACAACTGTTGCTATATTATTTATGTCTTCCTATTTCTACAATAATCTAACTAATCCCACTATTCTCTGCATTTCTCCTTCTCTGATCTGCGGGGCTCCTTCATTTCAAATCCAATTCATAATCGCCGCTGACATTTATGAATTTGGGTGGAAATTTATTTGGAAGTGTTGGTATTGTATGAGTTATGTACGTGAGTGAAGCCTTGTGGCATTCAACGGCACAGAGGAGGGGAGGAGTTGAGAAGAAAAGTTTGTTTTCAATTTTCGGTGATTTAAATGGAGCCAGAGTTTTGTCTGGAAGAGTCTTACAACCAATGATAGACTATGTGATTCTTATGGCTTCTTAAGGAATTCAATTTTATTGTCGTTTTCCTTAGTTCATAAAGCATTAAAGTAATACTTTATTTGAAAATGTTTGAACAATCTAATTATCAAAAAGGACAATTCCATCTTATTTTAAACTTGATATCAATCTAAATGTTATCTTGCTCTCAGAAAGAAAAACAAATCTTTCCTTCCATAGTTGAAATAATTGTCAGAAAGGGTAACACTTTGCCAACAAGCAAACTTTTCCCTCTTCTGAGACTGTATTTGTCCAATAGCCCATCACATCACTTCACACAAGTAATAATTCTATTCTAGCCTCTTGATTCGACTGACTTTGAACTCCAATTACACCTCTAATGAACTGTACCAACTAAATTGGGCAAAGTTGAGGAAAAAACATCACATCAATCTGGATGTGGAAATGAGAGTTGATAACTTGATATGAAGCTTAAACATGTTAATGAAGGATAATCATTAACTGCTTGCACATGAAGAAACTTCCCTCTGTATTTTTTCTCTCTGTATTTTTTTTTTAGTTGGAATGTAAAGGCCCAAGACCAATTCAAATACATTGAAAATAATAAAGTTGTTCTTTTTTGCATATATTTCGTACAACTCTCGAGCGAGAGAATCCTATTATTTTCATATTTACTCATATTATACAAATGATTGTCTTTCATCTTAGTTTTTACTACTCCCTATCGAGAAAGTATTTGCTTTTGATGAATACTGTTAACATATATGGGAAGTGAAGACACTTTTTTCAATTAGTTACTGTGAAACTGCTCAGAAAAGGATCAGATGTTGAAGAAAAAGCAAAAATACCGGTAGGTGAAAACAGAACATAGACCCCAAATGAGTTAAAAGGAACATGAAATGAATGGAGAATGAGAAAGAGAGATAGTACGAAACAGGAAGAGAAGGAAAAGAGAACAATTAAGAGGGAAGTAAAGAGAGAGGGAGGGAGGGATGGAGGGAAAGAGAGAAGATGACAGACAGAGAGAAAGAGGGCGGATGGATGAGTAGTCACCCAGCAGAGAAGGACAACAAAATTCAAACAGAAGCCAAATCACTTTCTGGTCTTTTGCAAAGAACACATTTTCTGGCTGGCAAACTTCACTTTGCACTTGTAAGGCCAGTGAGGCTTTTCTCTAATGATGATTTACCCAACAGATTTCTTTTAAAGGTCTCTGTGCCTCCATCCATCCATAATGAGTATCTGTGGTTGTGGTAAGAGTTGTCACTATCTGCAGACTGATGGTGGTTGCGGTGGTGGCAGCACTGCAACTGATCCTAAACACAGTTGCGGTTTAGATTAGTGTAAAACGATTAACCCATTTCCACTATATATACCCTCCCTCTTTCCACCATACTGAAAGACAATACCTCCTTTACTATCTTTCCTTTCTAGACTTCACAGCCCATTACTACTAGAATACTTCCTCACATCATCTGTTTATTATGCTTTTCTTATTTCAGTGAGATCAATGGCCGATATATACCAGAAATCTACCAGATTTCCTTTTCCTTAACAAGCATGTGATTGAACAACAGGGCTTCAAGGCATGAAGCAGGAAAGCTATACAAAAAAAACTTTTCTGCATTACAATATTGTGGACAGTGGGCACTACAATACTTTTAAAGTGAAAGTTTTTCATGAGGATATTTAAATGCTGACTGTAATCCTTTCTTTATTGTTAATCTTACTCGTACTCTAAAAGCACTTAATTTATAATCTGTAAAGAGTTAAACAAAAAAATATACATATATATTTATTATCACGCTGCAATATTTATCAACAAAAAACGTTGAGGGAGTGACCTTATGTTTTTAACAACAAGTCACCTTTATAAAGTTGATATCACATCTGATAGAGATAAATAAGAGAATTTTTAAAAATTCTAATATATTCAGTTTAATTTTTCTTATAAACAGGACTATTTATTGCAAAATGGAGCTTTATCTCTCATCTTCTCATCTTCTAATATATTCAGTTTAATTTTTCTTATAAACAGGACTATTTATTGCAAAATGGAGCTTTATCTCTCATCTTCGTAGGCAAAGAAACAAAAGATTCAAACTGCGTATGAAGCCCCAAACTTTTCTTAGGTTTTTCACGGTTAGCTGCGGTATGGGAAGTAATAGTACAAATTCTTGAAGTTTTCTTGTGTTTTGAACCATTAGCCATACAGCTATCCTATCCCATTGAGTTTGAGCAGCCAAGACGAGACTGAACAGCCAGTCCTACCGTAATCAATTGTCAAACTCTCAAGCTACTTGAAGAGTTCCAACGACTAGAAGGGCAGCTGCTAACCCGTAGTAGTCCATCTTCTAAAATATGACGGTATTTGGGGTGAAGCTAGGATTGATGGGCTGCTTACACCATGCCAGCACTTGCCGGGGCAAATGACGAGCAGATTAGAATACCTCCCTCATAGTTTCCTTTATTAATAGATCCCTTGTATTAAGAGCTAGTAGAGATCTTCCAAACGATTAGCCTGGTATTAAGAAAATGTTGGGCAACAAGGTTCCGCTTGTGAGTTGATAATCAATCTTCCATAAATCCTTTTGTCCTACTTCCCTTTATGTCTTTCCTATTCACATGTTAATGTGCTCTACTAATTACAATTCAGCTCCAACTTTTGATATCTTCAATTTTTATAACTGTACAAAACCTATAAAATGATGCATCGTTTATCTCTCTCTCTTAACTAATTACTTTTTTTTTTATATAATTGTAGTTCTACAGAAGGATTACACGACCAAAGATGCTTGCTGCTTTGAGACATATTCAGAGCTCATAGTACAGTGAAATTCTTAGTCTACCATATCTCTGCAAAGGAATGGGCGAATGTCTGATTTTAAACAGATTCTTTTGAAAAGAATGTAATCATACTCGGTTCACTTGAAATCATTCTTAATTAGCGTTTCCAAACTGTGATAGCTGTTAAGCATCGATTCCTTAATACAATTCAAATCAATTCAGCCATACCATGGAAGCAAATGCATGACTATGACAAGCATGTACCTAGCTATACAAACACACACAGGTCTTGTGCAAGTCAAGACCAAACAAGTAGAGCTAGCCGAATATCTGTTAAAGAGATCACAAGTACCGTCTACAAAGTTAATTTCCGCTTTCCAAGTTCATTCCCAGCTCAGCACTTACAAAACCAGTGTTTGTATAGTCCTGGTTCTCTTTTCCTTATCCCTTGAGAGTTCTAAAAACTTACACTGTTGGACTCGCTCCTTTAGTATTTACTTTTCCATTAGATGGCCTTCACAAACAGGCGTGTCTATAAGTTTGTTTTTGTTCAAAACTGCCTTTCTCTATGAATCCATCATTTTCAATATCCTATTACTTAATTTGAGGAATTATTATTACGAACAACATGGCTAGATAGGACTACCTATAAGTAGTATCAGACTTTCCTATATCCAATAAACATAAAGAAGGCTTTTTCTGGTTTGAAAGAAAACGGAAGCTACATGATGGTATCTTTCTGCCTTTCCTACAGACAATTTTCTATGTAGAAATAAACCATTTTCTTACATGAATAACTGAAAACAAATATAAAATGGGAATTAACCTCGTTCTGAAAATTCTCAGAGCCGCGAAAGACAGGATTCTGAAGAAGAGTTACGTCCTGCCTTTTGTCAAATTTATGATGTTTTATATTTTTCATATAATGTTTTTAATGGCCTACAAACTGAAATTAACATGTAGTTTGAGGTTAATTCCCCTTTAATACTGGATCTTTGGTTAGTTGCATAACAGCTTGTACCTGCAAAGAGGAAACATAGACAAAAATCACAATGAATGATGGACAAAATAATGTACTTTGGTAAAAAGTTATTACTTATGAACAGTTTGGCATGACTTACCATGTGTGAGTCTAGGTACTGTCCTGTGTACGATGAGATGTTAGCCCCCATTGGTCCTGAACCAGAATGAGGTGCGGCACCGGGCATGAGACCCCCACTAGTACCCATTGGTCCTACCGGTAGACCCAAATCCACCGAGCTCTGGGCATGCTTTTGTAACACGTTGATTGCATCATCTAACCTTTCCTCCATGCGAGTTTGCTGTAAGAAACACAAGAAAATACAACTTATTTTGAAATCTGCTTAACAATATATTTATATTATCATTTGAATGCAAGTTTGCTGTAAGAAACAAAGAGAATAGAATTTATTTTCAAAACCTACTTAACAATATAATTTATATTATTTGAATTCATTTGCAGGAATATCAGTTTATTCTGAGTTAGTTGTAAGATGGTACCAGAGTAATATATTGAATAGACCATTTTCATAATGTAATCAAGTTCAATGGACAGACCTTTGTTAAGTGCCTCATTACAAATTATTTCATTCACCTGTATTTAAGAAAAGTTGTATTTCAATAGTCAGAATGCAAATTGCATACATTTATTGTTGCTAGGTAGGACTAACATTGTTGCTTGCCCTACCTAACAACACATAATATATTCAATTCACATTCTGAATAGCCTGAATACTGAAATACAATGAACTTGATTATAGTATGGCCTATTGCGACTGCAGTGCTTCTCCATATACAGGAAAATATGTACGTGCTTATCTTCCATGTTTTTTTTGTTTTTTTAGACTGTCATTTTGCTATGTTTTGTTATTAATTTTGTTATAAATTCAATTCATTTACAATAAATCATCTCACAAGGATAGAGTCTTGCTTGTGTATTCTTTTCATTCTTCTCAATGTTTCACCTATTGAAGGGAATATACTATAAAGGGAAATGTGAGATTTCCTCAGAGGCAATTTCACTTTCATATGATTTAACTTTTCTAAATCTCTTTCCCGACCTAAATCGATTTCCATTCAAGTGCATTTCAGGGGTCGGTATCCTTCAAAAACCAACTTATCTATCCCCCCCCCCCCCCTAAAATGTTGAGGCTGCATAATAATCATCTTTATCATCTTTTCCTGTAATAAACTCCTAATAGTTAGGCTTATAAACATATGACATTAAATGGTGACATGGAAATATTCCCTACATGCTAGATTCCATTTTTCAATACAGGATTAGATTACACAAGCTTTCGTCAACAACACCCATGTGAAAATGGTCCATCCTGAGAGACCAATAAATCTCCTCATAACTAGGTTTGGATATGAAACAAATTTCCCCACAGACTTGATATTGTGAATGAAGTTGGATGTTCCTGTGATTTACTTTCTACAAGTGTATATTTCAAATGAACCACCCACTATTAAACACAATAATGACAATATGGTGGTCAATATCCTCAAAGATAGTAGGTACCGGTATTCATTTTAATACACCATTTAACCAATTATCCTTACTTTAGAAATGGCCTAATTAATTATTCCTATTTTTTGGTTTAATAGCAATCACAAGGCCTACACCAAAATTCACATGAATGCATGGATTGCAGAAATAAGCTCTACTTTCACTAAACCTCCACTAGAAACCAACAACAACAACAACAAAATTGCTAGAAATCTTGGTCGTATTTCTTCATTGTCATTGACAACATCAATATGAATTTAAATGGTCAAAATATAATTCTAAAATTCTTGTTTTCTGCATCTCTCCTCGATGATTTCACCCTCCCCCAAAAAAGTATAAAACAGAAGGTATTGATCTGTGTGCAATAGGGCCTATTAACGGCAGCACTCAACCCACTTGTACACCTTTGGGCTTCAGTTCGCTCCCTGCCTAGCTAGCTCTAAGGCAAGCCGATAGGGTATATTCCCTCCACTCAATGATCAGAGAGGGGTGGTTGGTAGGTTGTTTTCACGGGGTCGCGAGGGGTCAGCAGGTGGAAAAACAACTGGAGGGGCAAAGCGAGATGCATCTGAATTTGGGGGATGAGAAGTGCCTAATATGTACATGGGCTAGGACAACCAGGCATGGGGTGGACAACTAGAGAGGGACTGGAAGGTCCGTAGACTGGTCAATTGATCAATTGTCGGCCAAATGTAAAGAGTTACAAGACGGAATGATTCCTGTGAGAAAAAAAGGCTTGCCGTCACCCCTGAATTTACTTCTTCCGTCCCATAAATTAAGTTAAAAAGAATTAGTTTTAATTCCAATCCGAACACAACACTGCATAAATAATCATATGCATTGTAATACAGAAAAGTCGTGATAAAGACATACCAGATACTCTATAAGCCTACTAAAATAACAGAAAGAATGTGCACGTGAAGATTGCCAAAGTCTGGTATGTTAAATAGTGATAATTGAATGAAGGTTATTCAGAATCAACCGGTGTCATTCCACTTACCCCTGTGTAGTACATTCTATATGACCTGGCATCAGGAAGACAATACATAATGAAAGGCAAAGTCTTAACCTTGATGGGGACGAGATTGTCACTATCCACAAAGATGAACAAAAGTATGCAGGGACTGACTGCTACCTAGTCCTAGAGAGCTTCTCTGTCAAACAAGGCAAATACTGTCCTCAAAATCCTGGGCGAAGTTACTTAGAAATGAGAGTTCTTCTAGACTCGCTGGTGTTACTTTCAAGACAGCATGAGGAGAGAATGAGAAGGTGAACCAGACAGACTTAAAGTTAAAGAAAGCGACTTGAGGACTAGCTCAACCACCAACACGGAATCTAGTCGCTTTAGTAAGTGCTAAGAAGTTCACACATAGCCTGTGAAGTTGCCCGATCTGATATCACTCCCTATGTCACTCTACACAGTGGGAGACGTCTTCATCAAGTTCAAGTTCAATCACTAGGAACGAACCTATCAGGTCGCATCAAATACACCCAAAACAAAATCAACAGACACAGACTATTGTTAGCTAGCTAGAGATATTCTATTTCCAAGGAGCATCAAGCCCACATCGCAAATCAAAAGTGATTCCTCTGAATGCTTTAATTGCCTGATACTAACTAGGGTAGCCAAGTTGGAAATGTCAGAGACGGGAAAGGACCTCAGTCAGCCAGGGAGGGAGGCAGGAGAGAAATTTACTCATCAGGGGTGCAGAATCTTAGATTGGCCTTGTCATGTAGGACAGTAGTCCGCCCGCCATGGGCGCATCCAAAATAATCCAAAGTCCGTGATTGATCCGCGAGTTTCTAATAATACGGCAGATCGGAAGAGGAAGCGGGTTAGCAGAGATTGTCCCATAGGTTGGTTGGGGTAAATTGGTCCAAGATGGTGCCATCTAATTACCGTGTCAGATGAATTCATATCCGAAGCTTCTTACTCGAATCCCCTAGGTCTGAACAATGACATGACAGCAGAACCTCACCCTTATCATCTCCCAATCAAACCCATCCCATATCACATTCTATTTCACTCAAACATTCATATTTAGGTCAATGTTGGCAATAATGACCAGTCCCCGTTCAAAGGGATTACCTAAACTTATCCGAAAACTAACAAACTAATTTTGGCTGTGGTCATACAGACCACAGAAATACAAGTTACAAATACCCCAAAATGTGCAATTGTTAGTCTTGCAAGTTGCAATTAAATAGCTTGGTGATCTATTTTCATTTGATTTAATTTGATTTGATTTATTTATTTCTGTTTGATTTTCTTTTTCTTTTGCATTTTTACAAATATATAACAAACAAATATTGCAAATTTACACATGACAAAATATATGTAGAATAAAGTAAGGCTGGGTGATCATAAAACTTTGTCATCTTCAAGAATTTGTTGTTTCAGGTAGGATTGTTATGTTTCCTATATGATTTGAGATGGACAGAAATCTGTGGACCTTTAAAAATTAATAATTTTGTCTTTAAAAAAAAAAAAAAATTTAAAGGGAAAGCAATATTAATAATGGACGCTGTCATTGTCAAGTTTATAAGACTGTTTTTAATTTATGTCCATAAGAATCAACAAATTCTTTGTTTTAGGAGCTCCATTGGAAAGCAGTCAGTGATGCTAGATCAAATTTAGAGCAATAGTAATCTTTAGAAGAGAGAAAGTTGAAAAGTTTGGTTGGATTGGAGGGGAAATGAAGGTGTCTCTGAATGATGCAAGCCAGCCAGCTAGCGGGGCGGCGGGCGGGCGGGCGGTGGTCTGTGCATTTGCTTTGAGATACCATCCATGTGCCTATGGGTGATGATATACAAGCTTTACCCCATGGGAGGGGTTAGAACCAACCCCCAATTCAGACTTTGACTTTCAACTCAGATACATCCTAGTCCTAGTTCTGCCTCCCTCCCTCTCACCCTCCTTCTTCCCCTCTCTCTCTCCCTCCCTCTCTCTTTCTCCCTCTCTTTCGCTCCCCCACTCTCCTTTCTCTCTCTCTCTAATTTCAGAGGAAATCAGTCAAATCACCAAATTTCTCAATTCGTTGGGATTCGAGAGTGAGTCAATTTGTGTAATTCATTTGAAGGTGACAGACAAATCTCATTTTAGCTATGGAAAATGTGCATATCATGGGACTGATGCCTTTACTCTCGAGAAGTAAAATTCTCATCTTTTTCTTTTTTCTTCACTTCATCTCAGAAAAGTAAAGCTGGTGAGTCATCGTACACTTTCCTGAAAACCCGACTCTGGGTATGAAACATCCGTAAATACTGCCAAATGTATGAAAGATATAACATGAAAAATTTGTGCACTTTCATGTAATAAAATATATTTGAAATACAATGCATCACGAGTGGCGTGTCATATTGTTTTCCATACAGAAAAGATATTTTAAGAATTCACACATTCAAAATATTATTTCTTTTTTCAGTTAGCATACTGCTGCAATTCCCCGATTCAAATAGATTACGGAAACTTCACAAGAATTTTCTTGTCAATTTTCTTGTCAATTTTCCTCTCTCTGAAGCCAATGGTTCCAGTTCGCTTGCACATCACTCAAAGTGGCGCTTAGATTTCTTGTACACAGATGACTGACAAAAAATGTATAGGGTTTCTAGCAGCACTGGGGTTTTAGCATGATTTACACTATAGCATTTCAGGCTATAGTTGGCTATCCATACTGATGTACCCCCTTGTCAACAAAACAGACAAAACAAACAAACAAAACAAAGAAATAAATAACTATCAATTATTGTATTCTACTTCCAAGAAGTACATGAATATATATATATATATAAATAATATTTGTAAACATGCAAGGGACTGAACTTATATTTATATGGAATAGAAGAGTTTTGATATTCGGAACTTTCGTTCCTGCGTGACTTTGTTTTTTGTAGTTCAACCAACCTTGCCAATCTGCTTAGGCCCACCATACAAGTTCTGAATTATCGGTTCTGATTGCCTTGAATCCAAAGAATTGGAACGTGTCTGTAGAAGAAACAATCCAACGGACCTTAATTTCATAACAACTCTACCAATTACTCACTTTACTTCGTTATGCTGTTTAAAGTTTCCATTTAAACCATTTGTATCTACCAAAATTCAGCAAGTATTTACCCACGATTGACAACATGATATGTATTCTCAAGTATTAATAGGACAGGTCAACAGGTATGTTTAATTTCTATACTGTACATCAATACTATTTAGCGGTGGTTCTTGGAAACCAACGAAAGTGACCGGATTGCTTTGGATGTTAATTCGAGAAATTGTATGGTTGCCTTTTAGCGTATCCAATTCCTAATTGTATTTTTAACACTTCAACTCGAGATAATCTATTATGCATGGGCTCGATCAGTTGTTTCAAGGCTAAGTTCACAAACAAGAATCTAGAATAACAACATGACCTTGATCATCTATCTATCAATGTCAAACCTAACGATCGACTTGACCAGAGTTTGACCCTGTGAGGGTTAAGGGGGAGCCCCACCCCACACTTATCCAAGGGAGGGGGATTCAGACAATGATAAACTTACCAATGAATGTAAATGACTCTGGCTGTAGGGACCCGGTGATGTCTGAGGATCTGCTTGCCGTTGCTGCCATGCTGTATCAAAAATAAGAGAAATGAACAATGTTTTTTTTTATTGTGGTGGTTATTTTACTTGACTGCTAATAAAGCATTAATGCTTGTTAGTAAGCAACCAGAGGACCGACGGCTTTCGGTCCTCTCCGAGGTTGCAGTTCACAGAAAACAAAGAATTAACATTTACAATCGTAACTTTTGTGTTGTCTTCTGTGCAATATATAGCAATAATAAATAGAACACATTGCCACATTTCTATTTCATAAATATCTTTTGCGATTCATACATTTATCAATACCACAACACTTTCTCAGTGAACACCTACTTTAATAACTACCGATATCTCAAATATTTGTGTTGATTTGAGCACACATCAGGGCATTTCATCAATGCTCTTAATAATGCCTTCACATTCATCAGAGTTTGAAAACAAAATCAATTCTTTTCTAATGTGAAAATAAAATTAAAAAGCTTCATGATGGAATATTGTCATTGAGAGATTGGACATTGGAGACTGGGAGATATGGGAAAAGATGGATATGGATTGCGACAGTGAGTAGACCCAAGGTTGAGTTCAAGCACATCTTAGGTGCTCAGTCCATGTTTGAAGACCCATTCAAACAGACTGCCCTCACTAATGAACATTCCTCTCACGTAGCCGCAAGCCGTCAACTTAACTTGCCCTTAATAGCGAGGGTGGCGGGTATTTAAGTGATGGTGTTTGTAGGTGAACTCTGTGTGTACGGACAGGGTGGAGGAGTGTAGTGTGATGGGTAGCCTACATATGCCACAGGCTCAGCTCACATCAAATTCCATCTACCCAACCAACAACCCTGGTCACCTAACCTAGCAGCAACGGCATACCGAGCACTCGGCATCACTCACTTATTCATTAGCTACCCTGAGGGGGAAAAGTCATTGGCTGACGATGGCCGTAGCCTAATTACAGCATCAATTAGACAACTAATCAACACTGAGATGAGTGAACAACAGCTGGGGACTGACTGATAACAAGTACTGCTCTCAAGTTGCGGTTCATGGCCCTGCCTACAAGAGAGAGTGACATTACTTGGTTAAAGACCTAGGCTAGGCCACTACTCAGACCCCTCTCTGTAACTAGTCTGGGGGATTATAGTGATTAATCCAACATGTTCTAGGGACCATCAAACCTTTTTACAAGAATCAACTGTTTATTTTTAAAGGATTTCAGTGATCACTAAATTTGATTAAATTTTGAATCAAACTTTCAGATAAAATATGAATTAACTCTTGTCTCATACTGCAGGGGCAAAGAAAAAAAGATTATAAAACAATATTTGAAAGTATCTAAAAACAAAAATCAGTTGGTATATTAATACCAACTGATTTTTGTTTTGATACCTGATAAAACTCTTAATACAAACAAATTTCTCAAAATACAGCTAACGATAAAAGAAGAAGAGCTATCGAGTTTGTCAAGGGCAGTGACAGACAGAGAGGTGCCACTTCTAGAGGTGCCACCGCTAGGCTAGTTGGGGATCGAGGGAAGGAGAGGGGAGGATCGAGGGACAGACTAATTTGAGATGTAGCCAGGTCTCTGATGGCATTAATAAATATGGCGACTAATCAGTAGTCAGGTTAGGGGCATTGTACTCTGCTAACAATTGGAATGTGCTTCTCCTCAAGTCAATGTACATGAGTCACTTGACAAACGCTTAGCAGGAATGCGTAAGAACTATATCATCAGCTGGTTAGCTGGCCATAGAGCTAGGTTCAACATAGCACCAGCTTCTACACATCAAGAACTAAACCTAGGTACCTACTAGTAACAGGTTTCAGGGAGATATTTGGGGGGGGGAGATATTTTTGGGGAAATATGGGCAGTCGTCCTACAAGTGACATATGTTTCCCCCATAACTTATTTGGCATTTTGATCAGGATATTCTAATTCATAGTTTCATACTTCGATATTTATAGTATTTCATTTTAAGTGATAATGGCTGATAAGCCTTGAGCATTTGATTCTAAGTGGAGTTGACACCTTACAAATCTCATATATTATTATTAGCATAATCATTATCATTTTAATTATTGTTATTATCATTATTATTTTTATTATTATTATCATCATCATATTCTGATTATTATTATTATTAATATTATTGTTATTAGCATTATCATTATTATTATTGTTATTATTATGATCATAATAATCAAATTCATCATTATAAGTAATATTATCATTATTATTATTGTTATTATTATGATCATTATTATCAAATTCATTATTATAAGTAATATTATCATTATTAGAAGTAGTAGTAGTGTTTCATAAAGCTGCATAGAAATCATAGAAAATTGTCATTTGTTGATTTGTTTCTCCCTAAAATACCCCAAAATACTTATTAGTTAGTAATATCTAGGCCAGCAACCACTTATTGATCTGTTTGTTCTCACAGTTATCTCAATGACTTTAATCATCATTCTGGCTTATCACTCTTCAGCCAACATCAAGCATAAAAAATAGATGTATGTTATGATCATCATTACATTTTTTTTCATCTCTCTCTCTCTCTGTGGTACAGAAAAAGATAATGTGTTTGTCACACGAGGCTTGTGATTGGACGTTGCGTTGATTCCAATCCACAACCAATATCACATGATTACTTTACCTGCCCAGGTAGACCCTTATATCTAACCTAAAACTCTCTTTCATAACATCGCACCCTATCATGTCAGAGATACCAACTTTTGAAGACAAGAAAAGAGTAAGGTTTTCAGGGAAGCTTTTTGAGGAGTGGGCAGGTAAGGAAGCAACGCCCCCTAATACTAAGAGGGGTCAAGGGTTTTTATGAGAAAACGTTCCCTTCCCCTGTGGGAAAATGATGATAAAACACTCCATTTTTCTACAATGAGAGGCTAGTTTTTATATTGAAATTTCTTGTAATACAGTGTGTATAATCAGTCTCATATCATTAAGTGTGGCTAATTTGTAATGTTCTAATCTAAAGAAACGCTAACATTAAAACATCTATAACATTTGAATACCGGTAATTGATTGAACAAATGGAATTAGAAGTTCCATGTATAAACAAAAATTCAAGAGTTGTGGCCCCTTCTTATTAAGAGTTGCGAATGATCCAAATCAATCGCACGTCTTTCAATCAACATCAAGTTTGCAGTCTCTTATTCCTTATGTGCATTTTTGCAATTGATATTGATCGCACAATCTAAGTAAGTTGCGATTAATATCAACTCTTTATAAGACGGAACCCTGGTTACATTAAAAAGTGTGATTATACCATCAAAACTTGTCTCTTTTAAATTTGAGGCCGGCGATTGCAGATCTATGCAAACTGCCGCTACGACTTCTATTTCATGTTGCATTAGTTCCCTGCGACATACAGACAAGAATCTAAATTCTTCATGTCTCCTTCATTCAAGGCTAGTATCAAACAAGAAACTTTGGTACCGAGCATCTATGAATGCCTCTAATTCTTCAAAAAGTTTCTCAATGAATGAAATTTTCAATCGACTGACTTTGATCTCTTCGGCAGTCAGGTTTATAAAACAGCTGTTACTAATCACAGTCAATTAGCATTATCTTTCCTTCTTCTTCTTCTTGGCCCCCCATCTCTTTCTACCTTGATTTAGCTGAACTTCTTGGGATAATCACTTTCCCATCTCAACCAGAAATCACCGCTTAATGGAATTACAAACAAATGTGTTTTCAATCATCATTAATACCAGACTTTGAAAAACTGGCTTAAATCCACTGCCTCACCATGAAACTTTCTTTTCCTTCAAAATTAAAAATACAATATCAATATATCCATATTTGTTATAGTTAAAGGGGACGTCCACCCTGATACTAAGTTGGTTTTAATAAGAGCAGAAAAATGAGAGAAAAAAATAAGTGAAAGTTTGAGCAGTATCTGATTAAAAATTATCTGATTATCCGATATCCGATTAAAAGCTATGAATAATTGTCAGTGAAACACATATTGGCAACACTGCAACCTCCTCTCGAATTTGCTCCATACAGACAAAAAAAAAATTCTCATAAACTTTCGTTTTCTTAGTTATTGATGATGGTATTGATGATGGTATAGATTTGTTTCGTTCAGGGTTTTTTACATTTAATACAGGGCAAATGGGATGGGGAGCTGGCAAGATACGTCACAGATTTGCCAATTTATGTTTGATTGGTAGCACCTTCAAAAATTCATAAGTTTCTTATTTCTATTTGGTTTTTGCTCAAAATTTCACCGCCCTGTTTCTTTTATTTTTCTTCAACTTCTATCAAAACCAATTTAACATCAGGGCGGACTTCCCTTTTAATATAAGGCCTTCTCTTACTTACCTTGTAGTTGGTGTAATTAGCAATCAGATATAAACCTTTAAATAATTTCATTAACACTTACATGCATTATAGACTAAATACTCGGACAATAGAGAGATATATATTATACCTGGCATAGGAGGTGGAGAACCAACAGGCGTTGAAGGATTGGAGGGAAAACTGCTATTAGGGTGATCTGCTGAATAAATCTGTGGGAATAACAGAGAAAAAAGAAGAAAAACAATGAATTAATTATGAACAAGGGTTCAGAAAAGTTATATGCTTTCATAGTAGATTGCAAGACTTTGAAAGCTACCAATTTAATTTGAAGAAAAGAGCAAAAATAGTACAGAAAGCGAATTCAGAGAAACATATTGGTAAATCATAAATGCCAACTAAGGCAAAAGTATGAATCCCAAACGGCAATGGGTCAGAGTCCTACAAATATCAGTTGATATATTTCTCAGAAACGTGGGAGTTGATGATGATCTTCTGGAAAATTACAAGGGTCACAATAAAGATCATTGGAAGGTGTTATACCACTCATTCTCAACTTGTCACTCTACTTAGTCATTAACAACCTAGCTGGTAATGACTGATGAAAGAACTCACTAATTACACAAGACCAGTGTCTTTAATACTCTGTTCATTTCTTGAATGAACCAGGCATGTCAGAACAATTAACACGTTGGATATCTAGAAAAAGATGAAGATATATTCTCTAATGAGGGATTGGGTTCAGGGTGGTAATTCCCTGGTGGCTATTTTATACTAGCATCCTCTCTTCTTATTGTTTAGTATTGGTGAGGGAGGGAAGATAGAGGGAGGGAGGGAGGGGTGAGAGAGTGGACAGGTTTCTGTGATTTCAGCTAATTTCCACTGACTGTCAGTTCTAATCTTTGTCAGTGAGCCGTGTGTGACTGTGACCTGATCTATACAGCAAACATGACTTCAACTCTGTCACATCCTCACATCACTCTCATGCTCTCTTCTATCAACTTTAGAGGGAGGAAGAAAAGAAAAAAAGATGGCGCTCCGAGACATCTGCAAAAGTCATTAGTGCATTTTGAACAAGCGATGCTTCACACGCAATCCATTTCTTCCTACCAAGTTTTCTACATAGGAATGCACAGTATACACACACACACACACTTTTCATGCCGGGAGGAAGGCGAAGAAAAGAAAAGGAAAGAGGAAAAAGGAAGGGAAAAAGTACACACTAGAGTACGACCCACTCTGGTCAAAATTTGGGTAACATTGTGGCGTGGGATTTGTAAACAACATTTTTGCCCTCTCATCCTGGATGCTTGATATTTAGGTTGGAATTTCTAGGCTGATTCTCTCGCGCGTAACCCATGCAATGCAAATTATTTGTGAAATTGATTTAGCTTGATGAGACAAGAGACAATGAGCTCAGTATGTAGACGGTTAAAAGGCTCTTTCCTCGCGTCGTCCGGTCGGTCTACTCCGGTGGAGGGCAGGCAAAGCGCAACGAGAATGAAAAGCAGAGGCATTAATGATAGATGATGGGGGAAATGCATTTGCAGTCTGTTTGTTACAAGCCAATTTAGTCGCATTTGGGGATGCACTCCCAAGGAACAAAGTATTCAATGGTCCTAGGACATGTGTGAAAGTGATAGGAGGAAGATGAGGCAGGGAGATACTGGGACCGGTACAATATCAGTGGTTTCCAACAATTATTGAACACGGCAGCCACCAGAGATCTTTCCCATATGTCCCGTGAGAACCCAGTAGTAGATGGAAGGCAGAGGATCTGGATCAGATTTCAATTCAAAGCCTCATATATTTTCATGCAGAGTGAAATTCATGACACGGTATATTAGAAATTAAGTAGAGATGTGTGTGTAAATGTCAGTTCCAATAATAAATGGCAAATGATTTCCAAAGCTCAGGAAGACAGGTTACATTGGTATACAATGAGGCATACCTACAGCTTTCTATTCTGAAGTAAAATAACTACACACAACAAAGACATTTTTATTTTCCTTTAGGAAAATAGGCCTATCCTACTTCCTCGGTTAAAAAGTCTCTATACCGGTAAGCAAAATAATAAAAAAAAATAAAAAAAACTGTACATCTAATCTGTTGTTCTTCCTTCACATGGAAAATGATCTGGATGTATAGGCCCATTCATTTTCATATTATTAATAGTTTTACTCTATGTAGAATTGCACCACTAAAGTAAAGGGTACTATATAAGCTTATTTTAATCCAATTTTATGGCTTCTGCTAGTCAAGAAGACCTATGTAATTCTGTATTTGATAGAATATTGTACAAAAATTGTAATGATATTGAATTCCAAAATAATACAGTCATTCAGATCTCATATAAAGAACTTTCACTTTCCACACATTTTCATACAACAATGATGCAAAAGACCTAATTCATAGGAAAGATTTGGGGCCTTCATCTTTCAAAACAATTTCTTGAGTTCCGATTATTTATCAGGTAGTTGAGTAGTCCTGTGCCATTCATTCAGCAAAGCTACCCCACTCCATCTTCTTATCACTAGCCTGCACCATGTTCATAGGCCTGCCTGCCATCCTGATTGCCTTTGAGAGGCCGCATCGAGGATCACTCGTTTGTTTGGTTGAGAAATCCAGAGGAAATCCAAGCTGGACTTATCTGGTTCCTCCCCCCTAGCCCTCCTATCATCCCCATCACACCAGACACTTCTCATCCCCCTGCTTCACCCTCCTCCCTCCTCTAACCAACAACAACCCAAACTCAACCAAGGGCCTGGCCTATCAAAGAACAATACAGGGGAAATGGTGAAAAACTTTTTAAAAGGGAAGAAAAGGCTTTGCATCACCATTCAGTATTCACAAATTAAGTAGAACCAGAAAGGCAGAAATATATTCTTTCTGTTTAATAGTGATAAGTTTGCTTCTATTAATCAAACTTTATTTATAAAAATTTAAAAAAATCAGGGTTCATACCTGCTATCCACAGGGACCCATAAAATATTTATTTATTATTTCAAAGTAGTCAAGGTTTGCAAATGCATATTTCATCTACATGTATAATGACCACAAGCTTTAAACAGTGTGTAAAACAGGTGAGAAATTAAAGCTAGTGAAAGGATCTTAAATACTGAAACCATCATAGAAACTTTTTGACGATGATGGTCTGACAATTCTGCATTATTTCAGGCAAAAATAAAGTGATATGTATGAGAATGTGATCATTATACACAACTATATTTTTCTCCATTTAGGTAGATACCATTTGCATTGTTGATGATTTTAACAAAACCTATACATTTCTAAACCATGTATTAAAAGATACAAAGTGAACTACCAGTAATTCATATCCAGACTTATAACTGCCAAAAGAGTGCAATATTCATTTTGGCATTACAATGGCCTAAAACAAACATTTCTATTAAAAATGTCATAATTAGATAGTAAATAAGTGAAAAAGGTTATATGTGAAATTGTGAAATGAAAATATTATGTTTATGTCAATGAGTTTTGAGTGGATTCTTTCTGCAATTTTATGAATGACATACCACTTTAATAATATTGACACATTTCCGTTAACAATAAAAAATAACTTGTGATACTGATCAGAAGACTAAATTAAGAATTCGAGGTTACAAAAAAAGAATGCTAAAAAAACAAAAGAGAAACACACAAATGTTGATGCCAATCAGTATATACTGCAAAGATAGCATGTATAGATAAAGTGCCTTAAAATCTGAAGGAAGAGAGAATAAGTTGTAAGCAGAAGTGTTTGCATGCATAAGGGTTTTTATCGGTGCCTTTATCAGCGCCAAGAAGGAGCCGGGCAGACTTTCCTGTGTGCCCAACAAACCCTAATAGAGTTATCTTTCAATGTTGTTAGGAAACCAAGCAACACGAGGTAATAACGGAGAGGAAGGAACAGTGACGGTGGTAAGACCCCATCTATTGGGAGTACTAATTAGCAAATCCTCAATTCTACATATTGCCCTCATGCAATAAGATCACCATCTAGTGCTACAAATTGTTCTCGATAGTTGTGGCTACATGTATGGACCATCGACTACAGAACCTGTGACCGGAGTCCAATAATAGCATGTAGATCACACGCTACGTTAATATTTTCTTGTTCTTTTATGATTTCCAAATATTACAATTTATCAGGTATTTATGGGCTATATTATATGCAAAATCAATAAAAAGTAAGATATAATTAGCTAACGAAATACATAAAAGAAGAAAAAAAAGAGTTGCAGAAATATCAGAATATGTCCTTCCTGAAAAAATACTTTTTATGACTCCACAGCCTACCACACAGGTTATCTCGAGTATGGAGTGCAGGAAGCTGCAGTTAGAGATAAACTGTCAAAAAGATTCTAAATAGTTTTGATTGTCAAATATCATGGGGTTATTTGAACAAGAGAAGAAATATTACTTGAAGAAAATAATCCTGAACAGTTTGTAGGCCAAAATACTGTTCATGACCTGAATCACAATCCTCTTCAATTGGTCATGAACCCACAAGACACTTCTCACTGAATTCCCTTACTGTCATAAAAACTAAATAAGTTGGCCTACACATTTTCTAATTAATCTATCAAATTTTTAATCAAAATATCATACCTTTTAGTTTTAACAAATAATATTGTTGGGATGGTACACATTTGAATGCAATAACTAATTGAGATTAACACTAAGCTCAAAATTTTTGGAAGCCTAAGATAGAAAAACAGATAATTCAAAATCAATTACTGTGTAATCCTTATTTGTCATTGTAGATTCGATGACTCAGTGCACACATTATTTGATAATGTGAATATTCAAAGAACTTTAAATCAAGTCTCATGAAATGCAATTTAATATCTTTTTTAAAGACGTGACACATCCCTGACTGACTGACTCACGAGATGTCATGACTTTGGTGAATATTACTGAGCTTTCTTTTCACAATCGGGACTTTGAATTAAGATGATATTGCTCATTTCAAATTCCCTTAGGCTGGGTTTCCGACTTTTAATTGAAAGTGATTAAGTGAGGTGTTGCTGCCAACATCAATCTGGGTCTAGGAATTAAGAAAAAGTCAGTTTCACAAAATTACACAGCAAAAGGTAAAATTGTGCTGAGCATTATCTTGATTTTCAGATAGAACTGATGTTTATATGTATAGGGTAATGGTGAATGAATAAATAAACCCCTCATCAATATATGAGTAATGGCTGCCAAA